CGTAAACAATCAAAACAAACGAAAGAAACAACGTACTGTCCTAGGATGATAATTTGGTCTTAACGGTACATGGGAAAGTCCAAAAACGGGGTTATCTGGATTATTATCCGATATCGTAAAAGTAAACACTTACAAATACTATATAGCATTATTCTTACAGTATCGTTTGCGTATTACCGTTATGGTTCTGTCGGTAGATCGAAATTATTTGTAACTTTTAGAGTTTTGTTCTCATAGGTTCGAACCCCAAGTAGTGCCATTTTATAACCACAGGTTTTTCTTCTTGCTCTGTTTTTTTTATCATTATAATTATTCATTTATTTTCGTTTTCCTTTTTGTTTTCTTCTTATGATATATATTTTATAGTATATATTTATTTTTTATTTCTATTCTTTTTTCTTTTTGTATTTTTTGATCACAGTGAAATAAAATATTCGATCTCATATTCATGTATGCATAAAACCGGTCAAACAATTGACTGTTCTGAGGTAAAAAAAAATGTACCAGTAGTCGAACTTCTGTCTGTACGGATAAACTCATTACTGACACGGTTGCTCTACCTGCTGCGCTAACAAGACATATGATAACATGTAGTTTTATTTTCATTTTTATAGATTGTGGCATTGATCTGCCTAACCTATTTTTCGCATTGTTATTGGTCTTTGTTATGTAAACAAAGGCTCAAGTTATCATCCTAGGACAGTAGTGACATATTTGTATACGATACACCAACAGTAAGTAAAATAAATAGTGAAATGAGTACTAATGGAACTTTTCAACAATCATTTACTGGACAATTATTGCAGTCACCTCCGTATCAGTATAATCAACAATATCTTGGTCCACTACCGCCAGGTACACCAATGATGAATCAAGGTACAAACCAAACTCCACCATGGGCTATAGCTATGATGGAAACTATGAACTCCCGTCTTGATAAGATCGACTCCCGACTTGATAAAATTGACAATATTGAAAAAGTAGTAAACTCAATGTGCTTGAAACTCAATGATCTAGATATTAAGGTAAAAAGTATAGAGTCGCGAGTTTGCGATGTAGAAAACAACAGTACATTTACATACAACATATATACATAATCATGGAGCACTTTGACAACGTCAACGGCGTCAAATTAAATTCATGTTTACCAACTATTTAATTTCTTCCGATTTCAAAAGCCATCATGGTACCTGTCTGACGTATACTTAATACATGTTATTGCTTCATACATTTCATATTTAAAATTATTATTTAAAAATAAAGATTTCACTGGTTCCCATACTGTGTGTAAGATGTCTGCCTTTTTCAAAAAATGTTGTAACGCAATCTACGATATTTCAGCCATGCTACTTTTGGTCACTTCTGGAGCGTTTCTTATACAATATCCTGTCATCACCGCTTCTTTATCTTGTTTGACATTTATTCATTTAAACACAAGTTGTCTTTAACATTTCATGGTTAATTTTGTTTTAAAAGGTAAAGATTATAATCTCAGTTGGCGCCATATTAGCGTTGCTATGAAGTTAAATATCATTACGTTGCTCCGTCCGTTAATTTGACGTCATTTTTTGCAACACAAAATGTACGCACCTTCATTGCCTATAATCTACGGAATGCCGTTAGGGCCATTGCCTATGAATGTGTTGATCTGAAACGCGATAGTCGATAGTACGATGGTGAAAACGCGAAATCACGAAACTACGATGGTGAAAACGCGAAAGTACGATGATGAAAACGCGAAAGTACGATGATGAAAACGCGACAGTACGATACTACGATGATGAAAACGCGATAAACTATCGTGTTTTCACCATCGTATTGTCGCGTTTTCACCATCGTAGTTTCGTCATTTCGCGTTTTCATCATCGTACTGTCGTGTTTTCATCATCGTACTATCGCGTTTTCACCATCGTACTATCGCGTTTTCATCATCGTACTGTCGTGTTTTCATCATCGTACTATCGCGTTTTCAACATCGTACCGTCGTGTTTTCATCATCGTACTATCGCATTTTCATCATCGTACTATCGCGTTTTCATCATCGTACTATCGTGTTTTCACCATCGTAGTTTCGTGATTTCGTGTTTTCACCATCGTACTATCGACTATCGAGTTTCAGATTAACACATTCATAGGCGATGGCCCTAACGGCATTCCGGAATGCCGTTAGGGCCATCGCCTATGAATGGTTTGATCTGAAACGCGATACTCGACAGTACGATGATGAAAACGCGAAATCACGAAAACTACGATGGTGAAAACGCGACAGTACGATGATGAAAAACACGATAGTTTGTCGCGTTTTCATCATCGTAGTATCGTACTGTCGCGTTTTCATCATCGTACTATCGCGTTTTCATCATCGTACTTTCGCGTTTTCACCATCGTAGTTTCGTGATTTCGCGTTTTCACCATCGTACTATCGACTATCGCGTTTTCAGATCAACACATTCATAGGCGATGACCCCTAACGGCATTCCGTAATAATCGCCGTAAACAAGCTGTTTATTTACGTATGACATCATAATTTACACTGAATATCATGTTATACTATCCTATGATGTCACAAAATTAAAACGAGAGATTGCATTAAAATTACATCTTTCAGCAACTTTTTATTCGAGTAGCTATCATCATGAAATCAAAAGTGCTCCGTGGTTCGTTGATCATGTTGCCATGGTGATCGGCGCTTTGCGAATATTACTTTTATCATGTTTTTTTAATTTAGAAATATGTAGAAGATAAATACTTAAGTAAAGTATTAAATCATCATATTGATATGTCTGCTTAAAATAATTTTATAGCCTTGTCTACGAACTTTCCGGACAGCCCTCGTATATAGGGAAACTGCTGACCAGTTAGATATATAGAGAAAAATATATTTTGCCGTGAAATTGTAATTCATTTTTATTATGTATGCAAATTCAATTTATTTTATAAAATTATGTCGACATTTAATTAAGTAAAAACACTGCTGACCAATTTAATGTTATTTCAAATTGATTTAAGCCGTAAAAACTCTTCTTATTCTATATGGTTAGCAAATTTAACGCTCTTTACATTCAGGCGAGAAAATGCTGACCAGTTAAACATATACACATGTAGTAGAATCTGCTGACCAGTTAGATATATAGGGAAACTGCTGACCAGTTAGAAATATAGAAAAAAAATATATTTTGTCGTGAAATTTTAATTCATTTTATAATGTACGAAATTCAATATATTGTATAAAATTTTGTCGACATTAATTAAGTTAAAACACTGCTGACTTATTTAATATTAATTCAAATTGCAATTATTGCTTTTGAAAATACATTTTTTTTCCGTTACAAGATTTTTCTATTGAAAATATCACTAACAAGAGATTTTGATAAAACTCATAACATCATAATTCTTTATAAAACACTAATTCAAATTTTTGCATATCTTTAGGGTATAAAAAGCTGTTTAATATATCCTTTTAAAATCACGGATTTATATTACATGTAGTAATGTAAATTCGTGTTAAAATGTATGATATTATGGTACTTTAAATGTATATATTAATTTAGTTTATAAACATAGTCATATAAATGCAAAAATTAAAAATATAATTAAAAGAATAAAAGTAATTTCCCATCTTTTCATTACCCCCTACGGCGTGTTTATATAACTTCACACCTTCAATGTTTCCCTTCTTTGTGTAACTGGTCAGCATTTTCCGATAATCCTTCTTTATTTAACTGGTCAGCAGTTTCCTATATATCTATATCGTCAGCTAATTCGTCAGCAGTTTAGTGCGACCCCTTCCATGATCGCAACCGTTTGTCGGTGAGTTAGTAAATTCTGACCAAGCACCGGTAGACGCACGACAATGCGATACGATATTATTCCAAATGTCGCTTCGCATTGTCGAGTGTCGCTTCGCGTTGTCGAGTATCGCTTCGCGTTGTCGAGTGTCGCTTCGCATTGTCGAGTGTCGCTTCGCAATGTTGAGCGTCGCGGTGTAAAAATCATAAAAATAACGCGACATTTACTCGACATTTTAAAAATGTCGCTTCGCGATGTCGAGTGTCACTTCGCATTGTCGAGCGTCGTATCGCATTGTCGCGTTGTCGTTTTGCATTGTCGAGTGTCGTGGTATGCACTTCTACCAACCTCGACACTCGACAATGCGAAGTGACAATGCGACAACGCGAAGTGACATCGCGACAACGCGAAGTGACATCGCGACAACGCGAAGCGACGCTCGACAATGCGAAGCGACACTCGACAACGCGAAGCGACATTTCTTAAATGTCGCCCTTTTTTACCGCGACATTTCTAGGCGACAGTGCGACATATCGTTTGACACTGTCGAGCGTCGCTTCGCATTGTCGCATATCGCTTCGCGTTGTCGAGCGTCGCTTCGCATTGTCGCGATGTCACTTCGCATTGTCGTGTGTCTACCCTTAGACGCGACGGACGACATTCTAAATGGCACGATAAGGACACCGTAATTAACTGAATAAAGAACGCTATTTTGACGGGTAGAATATTATGGTGGCTGATTTGTGCCATGTCGTTTTTCCGTGTTTTCGCCTAAAGAAAAAATACGACATGGCACAGATCAGCCATCACAGAGTTGAGGTACAATGTGCAAACATATGGAAAAGCTTCATAAACAGAATTCAGAATTTTGATTTTTGTCTGAAGAAAAAAAAGTCCAATTATAATTTGCAGTATATAAAAATAAACTAACAATTCGCAAAAGAAAAATGTAACCACACGACACTTTATGCTCAAATGAAACAAATTTTATATATGTTCTATTTGTTCATATACGACGAAAGTAGCGATCTTTTTTTATATAAATAAAAGATTACGTTTTATCTTTTTTAGTTAGAAAAAAGGTTATAAAATCTTTGAAATTTTTTATGAGTAATAAATCAAATAATAAATAATAAATCAAATAAAAGATAACAGTTAATAAATCGATGAAATATATATAAAATATCTTAAAAAGCAATTTGTGTTCTTACCAGATCGGCTTATCCTTTATAAACTAGTGTATTTCTAATCCAAATGTATGTGTACAGTTTTTATTTTTCATTCCGTCCGCAGGATAAAGTTTCACTTAAAAACAAAAGGGCGTTGCATACTATTAAAATACCTATTAGTTTTATAGCTGTTTGTCCCCGCGATTCCTGACTGATACACCGTGATTGTGAATATATTTGAAGGAGCATTTTATGATATTTATTTGTTTGCTTTACGCTCAGATAAGAAGGTCAGGGGTAAGACCGGTTTGAGACACGTGAATTATCAGCATGTTTGAAGTGTTGGGTTCTATCAATATTGATTGGCAATGTCTATGGTTTTAAGCGACAATAATTTCAAAGGTAGCAAATCCACCCTTTGTGATAACGAATATTCCTTTAATTCCACAATTCTGTTAACATTCATTTACATTTGCAATACATGTATTTCTAAAACCTATGGAACTAATTTCTTATGAAAGAGAGAAAAAGATTTACTTAAAATGTATTATAACGGTTGAGAACTGAAAAAAACACAACTTTATGCCTTGTTAAATTCGTTATTTATTTATTATTATTATTATTATTATTATTATTATTATTATTATTATTATTATTATTATTACTTTTTCGTGATGGCAGGGGGTGTGATGGGGATAGACGGAATGCTCGAGTCACATCGTCACTGTTTATCGGTCACGTTGTTACTGTATGGCATTACTTAATTAAGGACAAAAAACTCCAGGTCCCCCCACTCTCTCACCCCCGGGTTAGTGCACGTCTTTCAGAGGCACAGGGCATCGGCAGAATATTTGAAACCTCGTCAAACTTTGTTCCACCAAAGACACCGACTGACTGGTTAAAGATCCGAGCAAAGTTTCCTAGGGGTCAAACTGCCACCGCACACTTGAAGTTGATAAGTTAAGTTTATCTCGCAATCTACTCAGGCTGAAGCCTACGGGAGTGGCCCTATAGATTAAGACAGAGATGACGAGGAAGAGGGAACGGGTAGTAAGTTAGCGGCTTGTAAGGCAGGCCTTTTGTTTAACACCAATACTCATTATCAGGGCTACCTCCTTCATTATTGTCACAGGTTATTGTTAGTTTTAGGTATCTTTGGCTGCCGTACATTGACCAACTTTTCAGCTAAAAATTCATCATTTAAAGGCATGACTTGATGACATGTCCGGGGTCCATATTCATAGCGAAAGCGAATTTTTGTGTATCAACAGCGGATGGACTGTCAATAAACACAAACTATAGAGCTGTACATAGCTTTCATACGTGCATGAACAGGCTGAGATTTGGGAAGAACCACCAAGCTCTCGTAAGCTATTTACATGGATTATTTCCTCCAAAGTCTCTGTTGTGCTTCAAACGTTCAGCTTTCAAGGGCAAGTGGTTTAGGGTTAGAAAACTTTTACAACGCAGTCACGGATGCCTCTTTGGTAATTTCAACTGTGAATTTTTTTTATTAAACAAGTTTATTTTTATATTATTCAACTTAGATAGTTATATATGATAACTAGATACGCAAATAAGAAAGACAATCAGCATTCATTAAAAAAAAAACATTTTTATTTATTTTCCCAGACAATTTAAACATAATATAACATTCATACCATATACATTTTAAAATATTAATAAATGTAACAATTCATGCACAAACAAATTAATCATACAATTGAACTAGTATACAACATTACATGTATGCATATAACTAACAACAGATCCCTCATACTATGTACGTGATCATGAACCGCCATTTTTGTTTAAATTCGCGCCAAAAAGAGAAAACATTCAACCCAAAAGCTGCACTACTTTACATTTTATAGTACTGCAAATATAGAATTGCAAATATAAAAAAACCTCGGGAAAGAATTCAAAACTTAACAACAAGGAATAACTATCAGTGTAAACACTTTAAACGATCAGAAATAATAATAAAATGTTATCTATGCGGTGTGCGAAACACTCGAGAGAGAGGGAACAAAAAATGTCATTTAGATAAGATACCATATGCACCAAAATGATTACCACAAGTAAAGCACAAGTTATAAATTGTAAATCGATTCCTTAAATATCAAAGCGACAGGTACAATGCTAATGCACAGCTGCTATTAACTCTGCCAATAAATACATGTATACCTGCCATGTTTGTAACTGGGTTTAAACGGAGATTTTCCTGGCAACATGAAGACAAAAAATACACAGAAAATTAGTTAATAGCTGAACTTAACACAAGACAAATTTAGCATTATCATTTAACCCAAATTTGTATAGCTCTACATAGTTTTGGTTCAGACAACAGTTCTGATTTACGTATGCGTTTTAATATGATGATGTCATACATGAAAAAAAAAAAGATTAAAAAAAAAAGATTGCAAAGTATGTATGTTACCGGTATATGAAAAACACATGACATATGACACATTAATATCATCACTTCATGCTCGCAATTTTCAACATATGCTATAGATATACATTCCATGTGCTTGGCAATATTTTAATCGCTATATTTGTACCATTTACAGTTCTTTAAACAAGTGTTAACGCCAGTTCTTTTTCTACACATTTTCTTATCGATCAAAGGAACAAAATGTTATTTTGTCTATGCTGCCTTCTGTACATCACCGGTATTCTTTTGCGGTATTTCTTTGCTATATTAATACCTTCCCTTTTTCCATCACGAACTACCGATGGCATCATGCGTTTCTCCTATTCACCCAATCATATGATGGCTTAGTTTTTGAGATATATCAGAACAATTATAGCAGTTACAACATATCAAATAGTAGAGATCAGGGAGTATGTTCATTTGGCTACTCAACAGCATGGCAGACCGAGTCACAGATTTAGAGCTTCATAGTCGCATTTCCGAATATAACAAGTTCACAGATCACAAATACGAGGAAGCCATACTTCGTGGTACAAACGTAGACTCTAGTGTGTTAATGCAGGCAAGTGAAGAAATAACTGGACAACATCCTACCTTACATCATTCTTTAACACGACAGCTAGTTTTATTGACCATTCAATCTCTGTAAGATGCTTGCAATGATTTCTGTTTACCAACTTAATATTTCCTTCTTTCGGGTATAATTAACAAAACCACTTTTAGATCCAGTCAAAAACATATCATAAGGTTTAGAAGACCTTGCAGCCCTGAACTTACTCATTAATAACTTTCAATTAGGTATTCTACGCTTAATACATTTTCAGAAGGTAACTCGTTTCTGATTTCGCATCGAAACAGTATCAGTAGAGACATTTTTCTATTTGTTGCAAAAGGCCATGTAGCTGGTAGTAGTGGCCCCTTCTTAAGTTTTCTAAGAGTTTTTCTACTTTTTGGTAAAATCCATGTTTACTCCCCGTCACGGAGGAGCCACAACGCCGGAAAAAAAAGGTTTTCCCCAAAGTCCACCCTGAAAACTTTGGGGAAAAGGGTTTACTAAAAACACCAATTTAAATTACTTGTTCCGATTGTTTATAAACGACTCTTTTTAAACATTATAAGAAAGAATTTAGGAGAACAAACGAAAATACATTTGTATATCACATATTAATGTTCAAACATTAATCGAATGTTCACAAAAACCCCTCTTATACGGTTTAATATGGTAACCATTGACTTCCTTAATCTTAGCTAGAGCAACAGCTGTTCAATACATTAATGTATTGGCTATTATTATTAATGGTGTCTCGCATTAGTATGTGTTTTTCCCAAACAAAATGGAGAAACATAGTCTTAGTGGAGTTGTTTTTAAATTCATCGTTATACTTTGGTTTGTGTTCATTATCGTAATATTGTGGAAACCAATGAATTTTACAGGAAGTGACGAAAGAGGTAGAGAGTTACAGGAAGAAGTTGAAACAAATATCAGTGAAAGCAATGATAACCAGTTTGAACTAGAAGAAACTAAGCACAAAGAAAAAATCAGAGAAAAAGTACAATATCCTGAGTATCTTGGACCGGGCGCTAGAGGATCAGAAATCCTTATAAAAGCAGATAGCGCTTATTCAAGTCTGAGAAACGCTTCTCTGAAAAGTGAGGTTAATGTATTTCTAAGTGACATTATAGGATTTAAAAGGATTCTTCAAGACTTTCGACCAGACGAATGCAAAGAGACCGAGTTATCCGAAATACATGCCTGAAGTAAGCATTGTCATAGTTTTTCGCGACGAGCCCATCTCTTGTTTATTAAGAACAGTTTACAGTATATTGGAAACATCTCCATATGATCTTATACATGAAATAATATTAGTTGATGATGGCTCAGTGAACATGGACCTTAAACTTGCCGTTAACATACATGCATCAAATGTAGAAAAGCTAAAACTTGTAGAAAATGAACACTCTCTTGGATTAATGAAGGCACGCCAGAAAGGTATAGAAGCTACGAAAAGTGAGTATTTTATTGTTCTCGACGGCCACATTGAAGTTACACCAGGATGGTTAGAACCAGTGATATATAGACTTCTCGAGGAACCCAATGCATTGTTGACCTCTCATATTGGAGTTATCGATCGCCAAACATTCCGATTTGGAATCGGATTCCATGACCACGAGCTTATTGTATTCGATCAAATAACTCTTGGGGAACAATGGGTTTTATACTCCGACTCATATCGCAAGGCAAGAAATAACAGTTTTGAGCCGATAGACTACGCAATGGTACCAGGTATGATGGTCGCAATGAGAAAAGAGTTCTTTTTACAACTAGGCGGGTTTGATACTGGTATGGAAATCTGGGGATCCGAACATATGGAGTTGTCCACAAAGGTTTGGCTATGTGGTGGAATAGTACAAATGATACCATGTTCAAAAATCGGTCACTTATACAGAGGTGCACATTGGCAAAAGATTTATCCCGACGCTAAATATATATGGAAGAATATATTAAGATTTATTCTTGTTTGGATGGAAGGTGAAGAGCAAAAGTTAGCGCTAGAAGTTTTACAAAAAGGTTCCCTGTCGAAGAAAGTTAATCCCGGTGACCTTAGGGATCGATATAGAATAAAGGCTGACAATAAATGCAAGCCTTATCAATATTATATTGACCAACTCAAAAGAATTTCAAATGCGTATATTCCAGACAAAATACAAAGAAAGGGAATTATATTCAACCATGCCCTGAAAACTTGCTTAGATTTGGCACAAATTGACAATAAGTTGAAGCTTATATCATATCCATGCACTGGTCATGGAAATCAGTTTTTTATTCTCACGCAACATTCAAATATAAGGGTTGACCGAGCATGGCTCAAAGCCGAGTTAGAAACATCCGAAATAACGTTATCAAGAGATTTCAAAGACTGGTCAACACCAGAGTTTAAATGGAGCTTTGAAAGTAATGGCTCAATTGTTCATAATGGAATGTGTCTGAATGCAGAAAATACCGGTGAAGTTTCACTAAAAACATGCGAGGAGTCTCCTTTTCAAAGATGGGATTGGCCTCCTCAAGAGTTATAGATAGCCACACTCATATAATGCATAAATAATATCTGACATACTAAAGGAAATCATTATAAAGTGCAACAATGACATTGCTGCTGAGTAGCCACACCCACCGAAAATGAGTGCCATCTCTATCGATAAACACGCATCCGTCTTCTTCCTTGAGAAGTTCGTGTCTCCCGCTAAACATGGCAGCTAACATAGAGTCGGATTCTCTAGTCAACGTCAACAGGGATGTTGTGTACACATGACCTCCAACATCGAGCTTTACTCTTCCCTGCAAAGAGAATGTTGAAATCGGTGTAAGGTTGTGTAAAGCAATGCTATTCGCATGCCTGGAAATGAATATAAAGATGTTAATCAAGTGTGTGTATTAAACCTTGAAGTCTTCAAAACAGTTTATTTACATTTTGTTGAATTACATTAAGTGTATACCAAGTGATGAGGACTTAATTGTGTGTTTTAATGTCCTTTTAAAACTTTAAGATCAACATATTTTTTTCAGTGTCAATTTTCAAAATCTTCGAACACATTCCAAAATTTTCTTCAAACTTATATTTCTTTTAAAGAAATCAACAAAAATAAGTACAACCTATACCATCACCTTTACTTACTCCGACATTTGTTTATAACCACATTTTTGTCATGTCTTTATGGACACACTGAAGATTCAACTATATATTTTATGGAAGAAAGCTTTTCATCAAAAAAAGAAAACAAATGGTTCTACTCTCTATTTCTATCATGAATTCATAATGTGAAATTTAAGTTAATTCGAACATGTTCATTTGATTGTTTCTTCAATATCAAGTACGAAATGTTTTGATATTTATTTACGAATGTCAATTTATTTAGATGAATTAATATAGTTCATTTATATGATTCAATTGTACCGAAATTACAACTTTACCTTTTGATTTTTCTTACAACACTTAATATTCCATTTCTAAATGCGTATTATATCCATTGGAATTAAGTATACATTCACTTCAATATTTTTTATAAAGCACCATGTTGGGGAATAACCTTTATATATGTATGTGGGCATTTAAATGGTATAATTTATTATCACGTTTTATGTGAATTTTGTTATACTAGTTCTGAGTTTCTCCAAAAGGTATTATCCTGTCAGGTTATTAAATTCCATTTCAACTTCACAGTTTTCTGCTACATTTAGTAAATATTTGATATTCCATTCCCTTCAAGCAGTGCACTTATTTGTTGTTCTGGTTTCACTTTATTTTAACTTATCAAACAAACATCACGCCTTGTTGAAAAATTTTCTCAAGTGACCGAATACAGAAATATATGTGTCAAACTTCTGCCGTTTTGTTCTGGAGGACCTAGCTACATGAAAGGGCATTTTGTCGCGTAAACCACAAGGACTCCCTGTTTAAAACAAACCAATACAACAAAACAAAAGGATAAAGGAACAATGAACACGTTCATTAAGAAGTCAACAAACAGATTTTCTTGAAATAAAAATCATAATACAGACTCGAAGGTCATAACAACTCTTAAGACAAACTTATAAAAGATTATACTTTACTGATAGCTTGGTATTTAAAATATGAGTTTTAATAGAACCGTTATATGCAATGCCAGACTTTTTCAGCTGAGAGCCAATAAACTGACTTGGTCCGCATTTAAGATTTTCAGTTTAAACAGAATTTTAGTATGAAACTAGTGGTTTTCAAAAGTAGTTTATTTTAGTCTAAGTATGTTTTCTACTTACCTGTATTTAAATTTAGTGTTACAATTCACTAACTTACTAGATCACCCTTTGAAGAACCAATAACAATTAAAACTAATTGTTTTTTTGAAGTGGCACCCTGGGAGAAGAAATGAGATCAAAGACAAAATGACGATATCGATCAACAACAGAACCTAATTAATTCAAATATTTTGTGAAGATCAAGTAATGTTAATCCGATTAAAAGAAATAACGATAACGAACATGGCAATAATCAGACAAAAAAAAATCATATTTATAATTGTAATTTCAGGGCAAAGATCTAGTTTTGTGGCTTTGAGGTTATGTTCCTTTGCTTTGGCTCTTGTAATTTTCTTCTAGTTTAAGGGAAAGGATCTTTCTTTTTTGACAATGTTTATCCTTTATTTTTTCTGTTTCAAATATTTTGAAAGTATCTTCAAAATCGGCTTGAATTTATTGAGTGTGATGAATCTGTGGAGTAAGAAGTCGTTTTGATGACATCATTATGTAATAAAAGATCACGTGATTATGCTAGCTTTATGATTAAAGTATCGGACAGATAATCCAGTCTAAAAGAAAATGCTAAGCACCGAAAATATGATCTGCAAGCAAGTTGGTAAATGCTTTCAGTTACTTAATTACTTCTTAACTTGTTCTCTATTTTACTACCATTTTAACTTAATGTCTAAATATAATCCGATTTTAAAAATCCTTTCAATATTTAACACAATTAAACCAAAAGCTTCATCACGTTAAATTAATCTTTATATTTGAACTTCCTTCCCTTTGAAAGTCATTCTCAAATACAAGAGGTCTGTCGTTCATATTATCAATTTCTCTTTATTTTCAGCAACACCATTGCGATGAAAATGTGAATACCTAAAGTGTTTCATGACCCAAACCACAAAAATACACCGGAGTCCCTACATTTTTGCAAACTTACACATATACATCTACGACTGAACTTCACATGAAGAAAAAAAGAGGACCAGAAATATCAGCTCTTTTTGGCGTTATAAATGCTCTCTTAGCTCCAGCTGAGTTTGAAATGCAAACATTGCTTCAGACACTTCAAGATCTTGTTCAAAGGTCTGATTTTTAGAGAAATTTTATTGTCCACTATATGTGACTTCCTGTCTTGCTTTTTGTGACTTATTTTTTTAAATTGAATCGGATTCAAATAACCTGTTTTTATTCGTCCATTATGTTGCAAACTTGCATGTTTGGGACAAAAGGAACGTGGTAGTCAAACTGTACTCAGCTGGAGCATTTCAAAATGTATGAATATCCTTTGCTTAGAAAATAAGACACTTTTGTGATGAAAAAGACGTTGTGAAATTTTTTGCGCTTATGTGAAGGACAGTAATAATAAAAAGACAATTCAAGAAAAGTTTCCTTATTTCTTTAAATCTAGAAGTGGAAACCCTCTTAACTCGCTTACCTTCCTTATTTTGGTCTAACAGGAATTATCTGTGATTATTGCATAAATTAAAGGCCTTAAGAAGGATTTATCAAATAATAATCCAAAACAAGCCCCCATGTGCAATATCACAAATTTCATGGCATCCCATTCCGCGTCCAACGTTCTTATTTCTTCTGACTCTCAAACATCTGTTGATTTTGTTAGATTATTTTAAACCTAACCTACCCTCCTCTAAAACGAGATTTCAGGAAAAAGAAACATCATGGTTAAGCAATTAAGTAAATACAATATGCAGTCCTTGTTTTAATTCAGATAAGACTCCTGTGTCGAAGCAATTTATGTTTTCATAAAGCTTATTTACTTGCAGAATATTTTATAATATGGTGCGATCGTGCTGAAACAGGACACTTTGGATGATTTAACCAAACCGTTTTCAGCTTGTATTCAAAATGCAAATGGATGACACAAATTTTGTTTCATTAATGTGTCTTCACCAAATACTTTCATGGTTTTACGCGAGATGTCTTTCACACGCTGAACACCATCAAAGTAGTCCACAATATTTTAGTAAGTTTTTGGACCATTTCATAAACTTGCTTTTCAGTAGAAACTCGGTAGAGACTCAAAATAGTGTACATTGTAGTTTCTATGAATTATTTAGATCATTTGTACTCGTTTTCAACTGAAACTTATCTTTATCAACTTATCAGTTTCCGAGTTTCTGACGACAATTTTCATAACTTTGGTAGTTGGTAGACCCAAATGTAATCAACCTACATGTATATGTAATGAAAAGTATTAAAAACATTGGATTACCAAATTACCCCAAATTACCCAACAGTTTAGAAACCAGAATGTCAAGCCCTCCTGAGTACTAATTTACCTCCATTTTAGCATACAAACCTTCTGAATCTTATGCACTTCTTCCATTCGTGTTATTTCATCTCTCAACTGTTGCCATTGACGACAAACCTCCTCTCGCTCTTTCTTCATTTCGCGCTGAAGAATGGCAAAGAAACAAACTGTATTTCGTATCTTTAATAAACACATTACCTAACTAACAATGACAAACATAAAAATAACGCATCATTAATTTTTAAGATCCCAGTTAAAATACTATATCGAACATTTATGTGTTACCTCTTTACTTTTATAAGGGAGTCATTAAATAATAACATATTCTTAATGACGTCAGCGGACCCACAAATAAGTACGGGCGGGCATTATAATCTTTCTATCGGACCGCTTAATTAAAGTGTTGTAACAGCGCAAATATTTTACAAAATGCAAATAATACGTACACGTTGACAACTGAAATAATTCACAACACTTTATCTTAAATGTGGTTGTTAAAGCAATATAATTTCTATTCCCTATTACCATATGTGTTAGTAAAGTGTGGTATAATATAGGAAGATATGATATACATTACTTCGGACCACCTAGCATTACAGTGACAGTCCCCGCCAGCCTCCGGCGTTGGTCCGTAAAATGTTTGTGAGCTAACTTATCAGTCACTATAATGCTATAAAACCCTTAGTCCTATGTTTTACTTCTAAACTAAATCGGTTTTTTGAAGCTTGAAAATAAATATTATACGAGACTTCCGTTCTGATTCTCTTCGTATGCATCATTGCAAAGTATGCGTGCGCTTATTCTATCATTCTCGGCAATTAAGTGACCAATCATATAAAATTATATTAGAAAATAAAAAAAATCATCCGGATGATTCTCCCAAACGACTAGTATCAAGTACAGTTTTCCACAAAAACTGTTAGATTATCTATTTTCTTTGTCATTTTTTCAACTATCTACCTTTTCTGACGTGTCAGTACGTACCTTGAATACTTCTTGATCCTTCGACAAGCGTTTCTGTTTTTCTTTGAGATCCTTTTCTTGTTTAATTAAAGCATTAGCTTTTGTTTCAAGTTCTTTCTTTAACTTCTCTAGAGAGGCCTTTTCTTCGCTGTTTTCTCTATCATTACAAATTATAAACAGATTTTATTAAAGGAGACACAAGAAAAATACTCAAAAGTAACATACATAATTTCATATTACAAATCTTCATTGTTGCTACAGAAATATGCTTACATAAGATACGGACCTGGGTATATCATTTTACATAGCTCTGCTTCTTAAACCTTAATGCGGTAGTGATTAAGACATTTTTATCGGAGATTCCAACAATGCCCATCTTTTAATTGTTTTTAATTGATGGTTTGGGTGTTGGATACTCTGAAGTCTGTAAAACAGTCAGTTCAATTTACTTGTCGTTTGCCTTAATTATTTGTTGGACATTTACAATGCGTTATATGCCCTGTACAAGAACTTCCCCTTCAGCCAGACACTCAATAACAGGTACTTTGAATTCTGATCTGGTGCATTGTACTGGAATTTGCTAATTTAGCTGAACTTCCTAATTGGATTTGTCAAACTTTCATTTTGAAACAGTCTGTTATCGACTTTAGGGATATGAAATACAATTCTTAAAGTGGGTCTGCCAAATACATACAGCGTGGTCCAGTTAGCTGATTGGTCGTGCAGGCTGACTTGGGTCTATTCTTGTGACAAGGCTAATAGTATACAGATTTGGTTCGAGCTTTAACAATGTTCAGAACAAACCCTCGAAACTATTAAAAGAATACTATTTACTTGTGTAAGGTGTTGATTTCATCAATCTTGTCGGAAACATAGCCTTCTAGAGCTTCTGTTACAGAGTCGTACTTGCTCCTTACAAAATCTTTAAGGTTCTCCAGTAGCTTTTCTAATATAACAAATCAATAACATACAGAATTTATTTGATAATACAACCAAGGATTCGTTGTTACAGGACTTATACTTTAGTCTTCCTTTATGGTAAATTAAATAATTTAAAGTGACATTATGGATATTGATAGAATTTTCTGTGAGTCACGTGGGTTTTTGATTATGCTCATAAACTAGACTATGAAATCGAATGAAGTTATGGAAAAATCTAAAGCTATTATGGCTTTGACTTGTTCATCTATCATTTACACTTGGATGGACATAATGTAACTTTAAAATATTGAGCGTAAATGGTAAAATAAGCTAGATATCTACATTTTATTACACATTTTTTACAATTGTACTTAAACACATACTATAAACTTCTGTATGTCATAATAATATTACACTTATATAAAGTCTAAACACAGATAAACATATATTTACTGCTAACAAGCTGACGAACAATGTGTTCAAGTGTCTTGTATCACAGACACACAATTATAATGACAATTTTATCTTCAGTTAATTGTACCCGATAAACGGAAAACTTGTACTATAATAAGTTTATCTGAAGTAGTCTTATGTCAATTATGAACATCTATTACATACTTTTACAACTTATTGTCAATAAAATTAAGCTTAGGCACCCTGATTATGTTATATAACAGTTTATCGTGTATCTGTTACATGTATAATGTTCCACCATTGACCTTCTGAATTTCTTAAATGAACATTCTAGGTTTCATCTTTGGGACTTCTCATTATCAGGCTGACCTGACCTAAACTGGTAGTATACAAAAGCTAAGAGGTCCGGTTGCCTAGTGGTTAAGGTGTCTGTCTCTCGGCCCAAGAATAGGGGTTCGAGCCCTGCTCAGGTCACTACCATGTTTCTTCATATGACACCAGTACTGTAGCACTGTTAATTCCAGGAATCGGACTCGAAAGTGGTTAACATAAGCTGCAAGAACTTGTTTTGAAATCGAGCTAAAAACTAAAGGCTAATCACTTCCGGTTTCAGCGGGATAACGTTAATACATGTATATGATTAAACAATCAAAACAGCATGAACTATCAGTGGTGTTATGTCAAAATGATTTGATATGACAAAATACGTTTTTTTACCTAGTCTTGCATCTAGTTCTTCTTCTTTTCCTGTTTCTGTTGGTTCTTCCTTTTTATTTTCTGTTGATTTATCTTCATTTATGATCACTTCGTGTCCTCCATCACATAAATGGATTCCAGGCTCGGCTGAGTTCTGTAGCTGATCCCCACATTTGCAACAAACATACTAAAAGAAAGAATTGACAATCTTTAAACATGAAGAAAACCATTATATGACGAATGAATATGGGGAAAAGACGCCAGTTAGTTGCATAATGTTAAAAAATATTCATTAACATCTGAAACGTAACAAAATTTATGCTATTGAAATGGGTATAAACATAGTACCGTAGAACTACTTTTTATCGCGGTATAATAGGAAGAGCATGTTCTCAGTTAGTTGACTTCCGCTGACTTCCGTTGAATAATTTTTGAAATCCATATAAAACTGTTGCTATTCTCTAGCTTTGTTCGTCAATACAAAAATCATGATGTCAATAATATTATAGATTTTATAGCTTTTCTTGTTCATGTAATGATCAATATCCCTCAAGAGACAAACGATTTGATATATAACCTGTTTGTATAGCGCTTCATGTGACAGAGCCTGTTTTCGTTTTCTATGACTACAGATTGTTAATAAATGTCACAATGAAAAGCCGCCTTGGAATTGACCAAATATTCTCATTTTGATGGGAAAGTAATTATATGAGGTAAAATGGAACTTCCAATCATCGATCAACCAGTCCACATGAGCACCTCATAACATTCTTTTAGGTACATACTGAATTGTTGCGGACAACTCTCGACCTTAAAAATACCCTCGACTGAACTAACAAGAAAATCGAGAGTCGATCTCAAAGCAATCGGAATATCTCGGCTATTATTCATAATAACCGAAATTATCTCAGAGCAGAAATTGAAAGGCTATTTGATTGAAATCAAATACTCACTACATTGTAGGTAACCTAAGTCTAGACTATGGAATTAAATGTTAATCTACGATCTATGAAATGATGTAGATCTATGTTTTAATATGTTTTCTATTTTAAGAGGCCATTTGGCCAAATCACCGTATAAGGCTACTACATGTACTAGAATGAAGAAACTTATAAATTGCATAAATAAATGATAGCAGAGTATACAAATGTATTAAACATTTAATTCCCCTCTTTAATTGAGCGCTTTACTAACTAATCAATACATTGAACAGCCACTAGAAAATAACTACAACCACTCCTTACAATGTTTTATATAGACCGTATCCTTGGGCAATATAAAATAAAATCTAGATATATCTTTAAGGCATTTTACTACATAACGAACAGGTCAAAGGTTAATTGTTAGATAAATGTTACAATTTCATTACGCATAAGATAGACTGGTTTACTTACGAATATCAAAGTGTCTTAAATTACTGACTGAAAATAATTACTACTATTTATCTTAAATATACATTTTTATTTATTCTGTCAAAAAAGGACGGACTGAAAATTATCACAACTTCTTTACATGAAATAAACACTACTCTACTTCACTTAAAATAAATATCCTTATCAAGACAAAAGATAGAGAATAACTGTATGAACATATCGTTTACATACACCAGTCTTCTTACAAGGTTTTCGAACAGGTCAATTAACCAATCATGTACGGTTTACAGATCACATGCTCCTCCATGTACCGAAAACAGGTCACGTGCTCCTCCATGCCTCAAAAGTTAAACGCGTACCAATACGAGGGAATACAAGGGAATAATGATTGTTTTTCTTTACAGCCAACACATAAATCACAACTGTGGAAAAATTTCGGCAAATTTCGTCACATTCCGTATCTAATAAAAGTCTAATAAAAGTCAAATAAGCGTCCGACATGACCATGATTATCAAACAAATAGTGTCTACTAGCTGTTTTCTTGGAAGATTTATTAACCTGGGACATAATATAATAATTGATGTCTCAGATATTACGAAGATGTACATCACTGGCCGCCATCTTTCAAGTTGATGATTAATGACTTATTTGTGTGACAGTTTGTAAAAATTCATTTTTACAGTGTTTAAGAATGTTCAGACACAAACTGAATCAATATACCTTGAAAGGTTCCAATGTATCGTTTCTGGAGTTCGCTCTATTTCCGGTAAAATGGCCCGAACCTCGTCCTCTCCTATGCCCCCTACCCCTGGGCCTTGATGGTCCAGGACCCTTTGTGATAAAAAGCAATGAAAATATTTAAAAATTAAAAATGTTAACTTTATGCTTTTTAACAAATGGCCACAATTTACCATTTTTCACTTTCTTTTTATTGATCGATAATTAAGCTCAGTGCTTATTCTGATTAGATGAAAGAAATTTTCTCTATCTAAAACGCTGCCGAGATGTGGCATTGTACGTGCAAATGACTAATGATACATGTACTTACAAATCAATCGCTGTATCGACATACAATATATAGATACCCCGAAAAAGTAAATAATCATAAAATTATTTTTGAATATTTCATTTGAGTTTGTGATTCTTCATTACCAAATAATTATGGAAAATCAATGCAAGCTAATATTGTAAGGTATCTGACTTAATTGCCACGTTTATATGATCAGTTTAAAAAACATAGATCTTTATCAAATTTTAACTCACCTGCCAACTCGGACCTGGTTGATATTGCACGGGTGGCATCATCTGGTAGGGCATCGGGTGTCTAGGTGGGCCCTGGTATTGAGGTGGCGCGTTTGGGTAAACTGGGGCGTTGCCAGGGTGACCGACCCAAGGTGCGCATGGGGGATTGTTATACATGTACATATTTCTAACAGAACCACTTCTCATTCCTAAAAATAAATTAAATTATTTTTATGACAATATTGTAATAATAACAATATTTTACGTTCATTTACAGAATGATTATCACACTGCAATATCAATTAACCGATGCCACTCATGTCAATGTAGCTTAGCAGCTTAATTGTGGTCGACATCTTGAAAAAAATCTGGCAGATAAAAATACAACCCAAATACAAAAGAACAAAAACTCCCACACGATTTATTAAACTAAACGGATAAATCACGTCGTGCCATTTTCAAGATCGCTATATATGGGCTTCAAAACAATAATAATAACTATTTATATATATGCGTACGACGGAAAAAACGGTTAACAATCAATATGTTAAAACATAATAAAGAAAAGTAATTTGCGTCTTTTACACTTACTTTTATTACATGATCAACAAAAATGTCGCGCACTAGTTATGACTCATCACGTTTATAGTATTATATATAGAGCTAGTTAATAACCGTTCTTCTACTAATTTGCAATAATAAACTAACTAAAAAATGCACAATTATGAACTAGCTTAAAATGCATACATTTAGTTATTTCATTGTAGAAAATAACTACGGAAAATAATTTCGTTAAGAACCTCTTAAAACACGAAGTCTTGACAGCCGTTTGTTTACATGTAGACGTGACCTTTACCGACCCGCTCACACAGAAATCTGATTGGCTATCAATAATTCAGCTGGTAAACGTAAACAAATATAGGTTAAACAGATATATTTGCTAAAAAAGATCAAAATTATGCACTTACCTGAATGAAAATTGCTGTGAAATTTGGTAGAAAGTACCACAATATATCAATTTATAATACTGTAATAAATTTGTAGCAATACAATTCTCCGATTTGCTGAAAAATATGTTTTAAAGGCAGTGACATTCGCAGCTGCTTATCTACGCAGAAACCTAGATTTCTATTTATATCTTCGTTTATTTTCGTAAACAATCGTTAGATTTTCCGGTGTAAAATATATCAGTTGCGTAGCCATCAAAATATAGCTCAGTGACTGGGCTGGTAACATAGTTACACTAGTTTAAATAAAGGAAAAGAAAAACCCCATAAACTCTGTTACAATTGTAAAATAAAGTACGGAAAAGAATCCACGAATTTAATAGCTAATAAGGATTCTTTATTGTATACAGTCCGTAATTAATTAAACAATTACATTCTTTTTATTTAGATTTCTTATCTTTTAAATAGTTTGCCTGCTTCAATAATAACTTGCTTACTATAAACTGGAACATACGTTATAGTACATCCCAGCTATAAAAGACGAACGAAATCATTCACATTAATTTAATTTTAAAATTAGTCGTATATATAAACATGTACATGAAAAATTATTAAATTTATATCACTTAATTGTAGTAAAAGTCTTTGCTAAGCACGAATAAAGGAATGTTAGGTTTAGAAAAAAACACAGAGTGTGCAAAATGAATTGAATTAAAGATTTAAAAAAAAATAGCAACAATTAAGTCACCGGAATCTAGATTACAAAGCTATAAGACGTTACAAATAATATTATGTTCTTTTAGATTTAAGAAATGAACAAATAATTCTTTGGGTGTATAACGCAAAATACATATCACGTATTTCTATAATGTGTTACTACGAGCTAGGGGATGGGGTTATTTTTTTATTATTAACATTTATTTAATTTTTTTTTACATATTTTGTATTATTATGTAATTCTGTGAAAAATTGATGCATTAGAATAATTTTATTCGACTTATTGAGGTATTACCACGATATATATGTTGTTTTTTACACGATTATAAGCATGTATCTGGGGCCGTGCTGATCTAATACTTTAAATAGGGTGCTGGTATATACCTCTACTATATCAAAGTATACAGACACGTGCCAGCCGGAACAACAACTTTTTGTCCAAATTCAATTATAAATAATGGCGGGAAATTTTAATTTTTAATACAGAAGTGCCTAACATTCCCGATGGATACTTCCAATTAAGTTAATTCATGACATGACAAAGTCGGCAATATAGACATGCATATTTGTAATGTACATAATATGAGAGTTAAGACCTATTATGTATCAGAAATGCTTTTATTTCTCATAAGCCTTTTCTAGTGTGCGGTGTCCTGCTATAATTTCCAGAAAGTTACTCCATGGCCAATTACCTGAACCATCTTGCCTCTGTTGCTTTAAGGCAATTAGTACATTATACATGTATTGATTTGAAGTATTTTGTGAGATCGTCAAAATACCACTCATTTTAGCTATATTTATGACCAAATAATTTCACATCTGCTACTTTCCTCAGCATCTAAAATGCTCTGAAACCATTATTTAAACGTTTTATATAAAAGGCATGTTAGCCTTTTCAAAAGTAGTAAACATTTATTCGTGTCCGAGGCATGTGTTGTTTCAACCACCTGTGGACTTATGTACATATGTGTTATATACGTGATGTAATACATAAATATGTCTTTATTATCTTACCAAAATTGTATGGTTATGGGACTTGAAAAGTGTTAAGTTATTACACATGTATGTTCCATGTACATGTATGTCATACAAACCATCGATCGCCGCATTCAATCTCGTGGTGTACGGGTATGCAAATGTACAAGAAATATTTGTCGCTATCATTTCCTCTTGAAAAAAATCAAAATTGAAGATATTTTTTGTGGGTATTGCATTTGACAAGTAAAAATTATAACAAAAAAATCTTAAAACTTCATGACATAAAGGCAATTTAATTGTGTACATCTACATACTAAATGTGTTTGGAAATACATTTTCTCAAACGGGCGGAAATTCGAAAGACAGTGCCGTCTTGATAGTTTTAAGTTTGTTCCAAGCCTGGCTGTTTCAAATGCCTTTCACTATATTCCAATCATATTGTACACTAAATTCCAATCATCAATGATTAAAACTTTACTTTTGTGACACGGCTTTTAAATTTCTACGTACTACGTATAAACTTCAAAGCAGCACGCCACCAGCTTCATGCTAATTTTGATTGTTCTACCAAAGTGTCCGGTTGTACGTGAAATAAAGTAAAGGGGCACTCGAGGTCTTTCTCCATCAGAAAAGACGGGAAACGCTTTAAACGACCTTAATAGTGCAGTTGTGACTTAAAATCAAATGTTAATGGGAATATCAAGTCTGGTCAGCGAATCCGCTAGAACGCGCCAATCAAGTTCTGGACTAATTTTCACAGGTCTATTCTTAGGGTCTAGGTCAGGTCAGGTCGTGTGTGTGTCAGTGAGTTTATATATTTATTCTCGCCAATGGTTGACCATATGGGCGAGTCCCTCAGAAGAGTATTAGTCATATATAGTACAAGCTACAGAAAGATGCACCAATTCCAGAAGCTTCCCCTGGTTCTTCACAGGACTGATTTGTATTTTAGTTGATCATAGTGGGAATCGATCCCACAATGTCACGACTACAAGTTTCGTGCTCTAACCGATTGAGGTGTGTGGGCTGGCTAAGGTCAGGTCAGGTTGGAGAGCTAAATATATATCCATCGAGCTGTTTATTCAAATAAGAAAACAAATATCATCGAAAATTACCGGTTCAGATAAACTACCTTATGTTACAGGCACTATACGCTCCAGAAATCCATATTTATCAAATTCTTTAGAAATGTCAAACATGTGTTTCATTGTTTTAATAATGGATTTAGAGCATGTTAGATGTTTAACAGCTGGGGTAAAGTAGCGCTGAATGTGTTCAGTAATGTAAAGGTAGCAAAATGTAAAAAAAGTAATATTTTGACTTCCATACAAAATCACTATAATTATATCAATTGCAACGAAAGCAAAATGAGCAAAGATGGCAAATGAATATTTTTTGAAACTGTAACAGAGAAATAAAAATGATGGCAATTAGCATTTCTGAAGCATAATGGGTCAATAAGGATAGAAAAATAGTTTTGTTCTGCACATACATGCATTTCATTGCCACTTGACTGATACTGCTACATATGGCCTGTGTCACCACGGACTTACTCGAGTGCTTATAGAGTTCAATGAGCAACAGAAAAAATGTATAACTTCTATCCAGATCGGGTACAGGTCAGTGGTTGTACTAGTGTACTTTCTGTGCACAAAAGAGCCATCCGAGGTCTTTCAATTAGCAAAACAGGAAGGAACAGGCAAAGTATCTCAATGATAGGTACATAGACTGTATATATGACTCTGATAAGAACAATCGTAAGGTTTAGGTAAATCTTAACTTGTACCATCATAAAATTTTCATTTCCACCAACAGAAAGATCGAACTGACACTTCCCTTAGAGGTAAAAATACGTCGGCACTTAAAAGAATACAAAAACATGATCATCATTGTACTTTTATGAACACTATCATTTGCATTAGACACAGATAGACAGGATAAAGTATTCCTTACAATGGGTGAAAGCAACAACATCAATAACAACAACAACAAGTTTTAAACTGTATTTTAGTATCCTTATCAATAACATTCAACAATTGGTTTGATGATAATTTAATGGTTCCAAGGTCTGGCCTAAAACCTTGTTGCCCTAATGGTCTAAAGATAGACCAACTCTTCATTGCTATAGCTTAAATATATGACATGTTTTTCATGGTTAATCTGTACATGTATCTTTCTATGGTGACCTTGAACCTTCAGGCAAACCTGGTGACATCAAACTTTTGAGCCTATAATGCTCTGAGTCCAATTATCTGAGGCGAGTCCAATCAATTGAGGCGAGTCCAATCATTTGAGGAGAGTCTAATCATTTGAGGTGCCCCTCACTTCTCCCATAGCGCTTACAATAAAACACAGATAATCATTTAATACTATAACATTCCAATCTTGCAGTTCAGATCAGATGATTTAATATGTGGTATAAGGTATGTCTTTAATAATGTTGCCAATTCCGCCCTGATCTCAGGTATATCAGCCACCCGGTGTTTCTTTATGTCTCTATAATTCCAGTCTATCACTATAGCTGTCAAATTATCCAGTTTTAAATGACCTAGAAAACACAAAATTTGCATATTAGCAAAAATCACCATGAATTCAGGCACTAGACACAATTAATTCACCTATATACCCTTGTTATACTATATATATAAAGACAAGAGGGCCATGATGGCCCTAAAGTCGCTCACCTGTATATAGGCCCCGGAGCTGGGCCAGTTTAAACCCCAGGGCTTTTATTTGAACAAACTTGATAGACACCCATTAGAAGATGTTTCATGCTAAACATCTAAGGTCTAGCTTGTTGGGTTTTTTAAAAGAAGATTTTTTCAAGTTTTTTTCTTTACACATATAGTTAAAAACAATGACACACCTTGGGCAGGGCCAGTTTTGACCCCAGGGCTTTTATTTGAACAATCTTTGTGGACACTTACTAGACAATGTTTCATGCTTAATATCTGAACTCTAGCTATTCCGGTTTTTTCAAAGAAGATTTTTAAGTTTTTGCTATACACATATAAGGAAAATCAATGTCCTCTGGGACAGGGCCAATTTTGACCCCAGGGCTTTTATTTGAACAAACTTTGTAGACACTCACTAGAAGATGCTTTGTGCTTAATATCTAAACTCTAGCTATTTGAGTTTTTTCAAAGAAGATTTTGTAAGTTTTTGTCATACACATATAAGGAAAATGAATGACCCCCAGGACGGGGCCAATTTTGACCCCAGGGCTTTTATTTGAACAAACATGATAGACACTCACTAGAAGATGTTTCATGCTTAGTATCTAAACTCTAGCTATTTGTGTTTTTTTTTTCAAAAAAGATCTTTTAAGTTTTTGTTATAAACATATAAGGAAAATGAATGACCCCTGGGCGGGGCCAATTTTGACCCCAGGGCTCTTATTTGAACGAACTTGGTAGACATCCATTAGAACATGTTTCATGCTAAATATCTTAGCTCTAGCTCTTTGCATTCTTTAAAAGAAAATTGTTTAAGTTTTTACTATATGCATATAGGGAAAATCAATGACCCCCTGGGGCGGGGCCAATTTTGACCCCAGGGCTTTTATTTGAACAAACTTGGTAGATACCCATTAGAAGATGTTTCATGCTAAATATCTTAGCTCTAGCTCTTTGGGTTCTTTAAAAGAAGATTTTTTTAAGTTTTTACTATATGCGTATAGAAAAAATCAATGACCTCCTGGGGCGGGGCGAATTTTGACCCCAGGGCTTTTATTTGAACAAACTTGGTAGACACTCACTAGAAGATGTTTCATGCCAAATATCTAAGCTCTAGCTCTTTGGGTTTTTTTAGGAGAAGATATTTAAAGTTTTTTCTTTTGGTTGCCATGGCAACCAGAGTTCTGCATGGAATGGAATTCTTTGAACAACTTTGTTAAGGCTTCACAAAAGGAACATCCCTGTGAAGATTCAATATGATCTGCCTTATGATTTCAGAGGAGATGTCGTTTTAAAAGTGTGAACGGACAACGGACGACGTACGACGGACGAAAAGTGATCCTAATAGCTCACCCTGAGCATATGCTCAGGTGAGCTTAAAAATGTATAGTATTGTAAGGATATATAGGTAAATTGATTGTGTCAAGTGCCTGTGTACTGGAATTAGAATGGGTTAAGACAATATAAAAGTTAGTGTACTAGCTTGTAACTCTACTGCAAATGAAATAATTCAATCTTAATATTAACTGTTTCAGACTAAATGAGTTAATCCAACAAAGAATACATTTTATGAATATAATGGAGAACTCTATAAAGTATTAACTACACACAAATTTAATCCCCTGTCAGGGAAGAACTTTTGTTCATTCTTTAAGACTAACAAACAACATAGAAACCTAGGCATAGAAAGTGGCAATTTTAAGAATTTTGCCCCCCCCCCCATTTTTTTTTTTTTTTTCCTTTAACGGGGAATTTTTTTTTTTTTGGTTTTTTTTTAAATTTTTTTAAATTTTTTAAAGGTTTTTTGGGCCCCCAAAAAAACACCCCTTTTAAAAAACTTTTTATGTCCCCAAATTCCCGTTTAAGACCAAGGAAGATCGCTTAGTTTTCCCAACCTCTTCAATATAAACAAGACACAAGCAAGGTTTTCCTTAAAAATTTTGGGTTTAGTATAACCCTACAGAGATGTTAAATGCTTTGATGTTCATGACATTGACCACAAGAGACTCCTTGTTGGGTTATGTGTTTCTCAGTCCAGACTAACCAACTGCCTGTCTGTATAACAAATATCTTGATTCAAATAACTTAAAGATCCTGTATGTTTTGTAATTGAGATTGCATACCACTCTTCATTGAATTATATATGTATGTAATTATGCAAATTTGTCAATTTTCAAACATGGAAGAATATGTAAAATATGTATTGCAAATATTTGTACATATTTAAGGTAATCATTAAATTATATGCATTCATTTCTTATTGGAAAAATTGACTTCCCTTTATTTACATGAAATATTAAATTCGGTAATATCTTTATAAATAATGTTTTTTGAAACTTACAATATCGATAAATCTTAATTTGAGCATCATAATTTGTATATAAAACCATAAAAATAATGTGTTACAGGATCTTTAAAAGACATCTACATCTTTAAACTAACTTAATGTATGGCTTTATGATTACTATAAAAGAAAATTCATTATCCTTTGCATAATGATTTTTAAATACATAAAATATTGCAGATTTATTCCTTTCTAAAAAATGTTAGTTCACTGAGGTCAAAACCCATCTAAACATAAAATTCAAATTTTTTACATAGATCAAGTGAAGCACTTAAATAGGAAAAGTCTGCAAATGATAACATAAAAATATACTCAGAATTATATTGAATATTGACAGTTAGTGCAATTCTTTACTGAATTTGAGTGAAAACCGTTGCAATACTTTTCATTTTTGGGTCATTATGCACAATAAAAAAGAGCACCGCTAGACGGAGCATTATATGCCCGAAAGTGTTTTTTTTTTAGTAAGGATGAAGCATTTGTAAGTCATGGGAATTCGCTGTTCATCCTATAAAATTTTACAGCTGTAGGTTGATTAATACTTAAGTTATTAATAATGACCTTAACCTTTGACCTTGTGACCCCAAAATCAATAGGGGTCTTCTACCTTATATGGACAATCATCCTAAGAAGTTTGAATATTGTGGGCCAATTGGGAACTTTAAATTATGCTCTACAAACTGTTTTCAGTATTAAGGTAAAAGTGACTTTGACCTTTGACCTTGTGACCCCAAAATCAATAGGGGTCTTCTACCCATATGGACAATCATCCTATGAAGTTTGAAACATTGTGGTCGAATTGGAACTTAAGTTATGCTCCGGAAACTGTTTTTCAGTTTTAAGGTCATAGTGACCTTGACCTTTGACCTTTTGACCACAAAATCAATAGGGGTCTTCTACCCACTATGGACAATCATCCTATGAAGTTTGAACATTGTGGGCCAAATGGAAACTTAAGTTATGCTCCGGAAACTGTTTTCAGTATCAATGTAATAGCGACCTTGACCTTTGACCTTGTGACCCCAAAATCAATAGGGGTCTTCTACCTTATATGGACAATCATCCTATGAAGTTTGAACATTGTGGGTCGAATGGAACTTAAGTTATGCTCAGGAAACTGTTTTCAGTTTTAAGGTCATAGTGACTTTGACCTTTTGACCCCAAAATCAATAGGGGTCTTCTACCCAATATGGACAATCATCCTATGAAGTTTGAACATTGTGGGCCAAATGGAACTTAAGTTATGCTCTGGAAACCAAATTGCTAACGGACGGACGGACGTTCTCACAGGACAGTAATTATGTAGCTACTCTATTGTTCTCTCTATTGTTCTTTTTAGCCACGCAAAAGAAAATAGCCACATAAAAGCATTACGGAATGAATGACATCAAAGAGAAAGAACAGTTACCTATTGTCCCTCTAGCCACATAATTACTCTCCTGTGAGTGCGGACAGACAGACAGACGGACGCCAGGGGGTATAACATAATATGCCCTTTCGGGCATATAAAAATGATTATTCTGGAAAAAACAGGTGAGAAGATGATCTGAAAATTTGTACAGAATTTATTTGGTCAGACTTGAATCAAATGGTACACAAATGACCAAAATATATTTCCAGTCCTGTAATGTCCAAAAAACTTAAGTGAAGTCCCTTTAAGATTATAAATTTACCTGATTTTACTAAAGCCAGTATTCTGTTTGGAGTTCCTATTCCCATATGGCATACTGACTTCTTTAAAAATGTCTGTTGCTCTCCTAACTGAAATAACAAGATAAATATTGTCAGTCAATCAGTCTGTTAAAAAATTAAATAAAATTAAATAAGAAAAGATTGATTTCTGCTTGCACCATATCTAACCATACACACAGAAATTGTAAGATACCAAAACTAGATTTTATGCCAATATTAGATATGTGGAAAAAGAGACTGTGAGAAATAATCAGATTAAAAAATTTCCCAAGGAACTTGGTGACAATCATTCTGAGAAAATGTGGTTGAAAATCCATTGTGAAATGTTGGAGTCGCGCTCGGAAGACTTTGTTCAGAGATCTACCAATAAAATAACCAATGTCTATAGTGCAAACTTGGCTAAAATACTAGCTGGTTTAAACAGTTTCTATTTCTTCAATATCTACAATACAATAATATAACAATACATATTATTTGCAATCAAGAGCAAATAGAGTCAAGTAGAGAACAACCGTCTTTCATTAAATTTTCTTTCCAATGACAGATATCGTAATTGACTTTTTATACTTTCTAGTATTTCACTTACAGACTAAGCAAGTAGACTCTCTGAATTTTCATTGATGACAACCAACATGCCCTCTTTTGCCTTTCAAACTATTAAAAAATTTTTTTGGTATATCAAATCACATGCTATGTCTTGGAATTTTATGAAAGATCTCCAGCTTAACCAGTATCTCTAACAGTTAATACAATATATCATATAAAACACATAGCAATAAATGTACAAACCTTCATATGTTTCGCGAACAATTTGGCACATTTACATTTATCTCCCTTGAAGTCTTGTAATTGTCTGAAAAACAAAGATTCAATCATTTATCCATTAATAAAGTTTACCTTATTCATTAAAAACATAAATTATAGAAAAAACTTAATTTGTCTTTCAATCATAGTTAAAACTTCAGTTTTTACACTAAGTTATTCACAATGATTTTACAACCTACGCTATTTGATTATCAATTATTTGAGAATGTGAAAATGAGGAGATATGCATGTAGGTCTATATCTTCTTTTTTTTAAACTTTGACCTGACATCAAAAGCTGTGACATTTGATGTTTAATTTTTCTTGTGTAACATTTATATTTAGCATGTCATTGAACCATTGAAATGTTATTTTAACATTAATAAATGACATCCAATTGTTTCATGGCATGTACAAAACATTAATCACAATGGAACATTTTGATTGGCAGAAATTTGATACAGTTTTATCGATTTTTGGGCAGAGGTACATTTCAAAGCAACAAGATAAAGTAATAATTCATACAAGAGACCATGCAAATTATTTATATAGCAAATCAAACAAGATACACATCAGTTACTGAAAGTGAAAAACTATCAGCTCATGATTGGATGAGAGGGATGCTACTTAATTTGAACAAATGTCACCTGTTCAGGTCCACAGCCCTCAGTGCGGCAGCACAAATCACTAACAACATGGGAGAACCTTGGCCTTCACACGCAATTTTCATTTTCTTCCATTTAGGTAACACAGATCGTAGATATGCCACAGAAAATGCTGGTGTTTGGTTTGGTGCATAAAAGTTTTTCTCTATAAATAAAAAATACAAATACAGTGTTTGTAGTCCTGAAATTACTGAAATTCATAGTTTTATTCTCTATTTTGTTTTACTTTTCTATTTTGATTTTCCTCTATCAAGTAAGTCATTAAATTGTTTTTCAAATTGCCTTAATTTTCTTTTTTCTATCTTCTTTCTTCTTCATTTTTTGGTTGGATTCTATGTCCTTTTCACATAAATTTTAATACTAAAACACCGTGGAAACAGTTTCTGTATGTTTTTTAAGCATGAATTATTTTATTTGAAGTTTCAAAGGCAAGGAACAAGCTGCCTGCAACCATACACACACCACATTATTTCAGTTCCAAAGTACTGTTAATTAAGGAAATGACATCATTGACATAAAAAAATTTTTTTTGTTGCATTTAAGGTTATACAAAAACAGTAGAGATCAAATGGTGACTTTCCAGCTTTAATGGTAAAAGTAGACCTCTGGTGTCCTGTGCATTATTTCGGGGCACCAGAGTAGAACCACCGACATGTGAGTAAGCTAGCTGGATACCTTCCTCACAAGAAAGAATCCAAGACGAAGGATTTAAACCTAAAGCAGTTACAGACAAGTGATTTGAAGTCAACAACCTTAACCGTTTGACCATTTACCCCTCCATGAAGAATAATGATGTCATAGACATTGAAACATGTAAAAATATTTAATTTAATTGGACTCTGGAACTATGAGGTTTAAATAACAAGTACATGTATGAATATTATGTCCAAACATACATTATCACATGCCATCACTTGATGTTATATCATCAAGATGTACACTTTTGTATGTTATATAATTTGTACGCTTTCAGGTTGCATTATGTTAACAGCAACCATCTGTTTTTGTATGCAGTTTGCTGATTGTGAAGAATAAAATTATCATTCATCCAGAATGAAAACAAGATATAATCTTCAATCTTTGTGAATGTACAAAAGCTTGACATACATGTACAATGCATTTTAAGTGAATGCAAGTTTATTCATGCTTGAAGTCAGACAAGTCCATTATTATACCTGTATCAAGTGCGATTTCATCCCTTTCAACCGCTGTTAATTTCCCACCAAAATGTTTATCCAGAAAGCCAACAAAATCTTCAGGACGGCCAGGCTTGTCTCCCTTTTCCTTTAACTCATCTGTTATCCTCTTCTATAAATATAAATGTAAAATGAGTTAGTTTAATTTCAAGCAGCTATTTCAAAAGACTTAATTTGTAATACTTAAAACTAAGTTTAGAACTGACAAAATACATCTTCAAAGACAGTATGCAAATTATATATAGACAAACAAATTAATTTACTAAAAGACATGTCCAGTTATTCCATATTCCTCAATAAAATGAGTCAATTTTGAGTACAAACAAGGATAGGTAATCATAAAACTACAGATGCCTAAGAAATTTGATTCAAAATGTTATTGATAAAATCTACTGAATTTGGTTTACATGTATTTAATGCTGCTAAAAAATAAAAAATCTTTAAAGACCTGGTATTTCTTTATATTTATAGCCTTAGTGGGGTTTGAAAATATTGATGTAACAGATCGAATAAATTTGATAAAATAGCTGTATCAATTCATAAAAAGTATATCTGTACTTATCAAAACTGAATGATTTCATTTAAAAACACTTATTTTATGACATTTTCCAGGAGTTTAATGTAATATTAATTGAGTTGCCTCCCATTTAATGCTATGTTGATTGTCATAAAAAATATTTTGAAAGAAAATTTAAAAAGAATTATAAAGGTTTATTTTGGTATCTTTCAGTGCCTAACCATTAAGGGCTATGTCAATTATAAATAAAAATGATAGTAAATTTAAAGAAAATATGTTTTATTATTGGCATCTTTCAGAATCAGTGCCTTTCTAATTCATTTTTTTCTATGCACACAGTTACCCTATTTCTTTTTCTTTTCTTCTTCTGATCTTTATCTTTTTGTGGTTGCTCTGGTACTGAGGTTTCCATATCCTCCTTGTCTTCAATTTTCTCATCATCATCATCATTACTGCTGTCCTCTTCTGAAACATACAAAATATTCATAGTCACAATAGCAAAAATATTCAGCATTTATATATATTAAACAGTTAAATACATAAATTTACATCACAATTTAATAACAAAATAAAACAGTTATAAAGTTATACAAAATAACATTTACAGCATGCCTATTACAGTCAGAGCATGACTCCTTTGTGTCTCCTTAGCAGTGTTTGGTAGGAAATTAAAAAATTAGGGCAAGATCCAGTGGGAATACTGAATAGCACAGCAACAACTGAACAAGTCATGCTTATTTCTGGATAAGCTTAAAGCCTTTTAGAAGTAATACCCACCCCTATCAAATAAATTAGATTTTTCAAATTCATCATGTATGGCATGCTGTTTTAAAATAAATAAAATTTCACTTGATAAAACAAATTGGAGCGAATCGTCTTTGGGCCGAAAAATATGACAAATTTTTCGATCGTGCGAATTATGAATTATCTAAAGCACACATGAAAGTTTTCATGCATTACACGTTAAATTTTATTTAAGAGGAAATATTTTAAATCAGATACATTACAAATGGGCGACTGCTGCCACTGAACTTTCAAGGAATTTACCTTTCCACCAGTCATCGCCTAAATCGTCCGCCATGCTGGATTGTTATCTGGTGCGTTAAATTCGTAATATTTTGAAGTAAAAATGATTGCCTTTAATCAATTATTTCCATTTATAAAATACACACTTGAAAAGTACAGAAAAATGATCTGTTTAAAAACGCAGTAATTATTCAATATCGTGAATTAAATTGATATTTTATGAATTCGTAGACGTGGCTTTGGAGCTAGCAAAAAGGGGAAATGTCAGAATTTATGTTTTGAAAACATATTCTTCAAATTCGAAGTTAGAAATCGGAAATGGAGGCTAAGCCAATTGTTACATGTAATATTCCGCTTTGTTTAATTCAACAATGTCAATCATAACTGACAAAACATTTGTGTTTAGAAAAAAAGTTTAACGCTTTAATTTCAACACATTTTTATTTCTCCAAATAATCAGAATACAGTACTGCACACCAAAGGGGGGTATAACGGTGCCTGAGGTCTCTATATAAGGGTCAGTTGTGACCAAAACTAGGTCCTTCTCCAAATCCCTCCAGAGGCGTGCACGTCGCGGAGAAGGCACACGGCAGGTCAAGGTCAAGTCATCTTAAGTACCAGAGGTGATTGGTTGACCTGTCGTGACTAACTCTGGAGGGTTGGCGCTAACGAGAGCAGTATGGAACTTGATGCCTGGCCAGTATTGTCGTACTCCTCTACCACCAACGAACGAAGAATAGGCTTCAGGAAGATTCAGCATGAAAAAGACGTCCCCGATGTGACTACCCTAGTGGACCGGCACGGATGCTATATTCTCGGACAGATGGTTTAACCGGCGCCGAGTATAAATAAACTCAAACTGACTGGGAAAACTAGGTCCAGACCCCAAAAATCATGTGACAACCCTTATATATAGACAAAGGTTCTAACTAAAAAAAAACAATATCTGCTGGTCCCAAATATTATTATATTTTATTTCTAATAAAAGCTTCTTCTTAATGTTTAACGGCAATTAAATAGCAATGATAAATTGATCTTTTTTATCTAAATATTTTTATCACAGGGTGAGGAAAATGTTAGCCTGTCTTGGTTTTGAATCTGGGACATTTGTTCTACCGACTGAGCTATGTGGCTGCTTACTCATTATCTCCCCTTATTATTGAACATTTTTATATCCCCATACTGCCACTTTCCGATCAGCTAACAGATATTTCTTTAATAACTGACAGTGAAATTATAAAAATAAAATTTCTCTTAAAATTCTGCAAATATTATCATTTCAGCTAATAAATGCAACAACTTTTTAAAATTTTACCTGAATTATTATTATGAATCGAGGACAAATCATTACTGACCCATTTTCCTGTTCTTCAAAATTTCACAACCACTTTTCAATCAGTTAACAAAATATACACTGTACCACATTAAAATTGTCATACAATGTTAAAATATAATAGTTATCTATTTTGAAGAAATTTTGACAAACTCAACTTCAGATAAATGGTAATAAACAATTTTAACCTTTTTATAATGCCATTTTTCAATCTTGATAACTTTTTGCAGTAGTAAAGCTGTCACAATTGGGGTATGGATATACATCTCAATGTGCATAACAGAAAAAGCATGTTCTTGTGAAATTTTTAGGATCTTAGGGTCTATTTGACCCCATTCTAGTGACAGCTTTCTGAAAAGTTATCAGAGAGAATGTTTTTCCTTGGTTAAGTGACTGTTAGTTTACTGACGTATTACCTTCCAATTAAGAATTGTATGGTAAAATGTGTACATATTAAAATTACAGCTTTTGAAGTGCAGTATACATTATGACTTAATGATATTTAAACAGTTGTCCAACTTAATATCCATTTCTGCAGACTGACAAAAAACTGAGTCTGTAAATCAATTATTTTTAGAAAATTATTGCGATTTGTAACTGGGTAAATAAAGGATTAGTGGAAAACACAAATTTTACATATTTTGAACTTAAATACTGTTATTTTCTTTTTTAACGCCATAATTGACATTGCTGCTGATAAATGTAGTCAAGGTAAATACAAGATGTGCTTACAGTTTGGTTACATGAAAAATAAGGTCAAAAATAAAGAATTTCCAGGGATGATTGAAAAGTGGTTGTGATTAAAAACTGGCAGTATGGGGATACTGTAACCATGACATACTCCCTGCTTAATTGGAATTCTTTCTTGATTTTCTTATTGGTATAGAGAACACTTTGCAATGACTCCTGACTATTTTCTGTCACAGTCACATGTGGGAGCCAAATGTCACAGGGTTAGAAAAATGTGTACTGGTTCGGGATGGTAGTCAGACTATTCTCTCCCTTACCAGTTCCTCCCCTGATGTTTCCTCCCTGACGGTTCTCTCCCTATTTTGGGGGAGAACTGTCTGCATATTTGCAAATAAGCAGACAGTTCCTCCCCATCTTTATATTTATTAATACATTAATTATTATTGAAGTATTTAGATGTTTAATAAATGGATTAGTTTATTATTAAATTATAATATTAATTGGTATAAATTAGAGAGAAAAAAATAATTTTATTTGAGTATTTAGATGTTTAATCAGGACATGAGCATGTTTATGATTAATTGATATAGATTAGATTAAAAAAGTATTTTTAGCATATAAGTATATAATTCTGATTTTTTTTATTAGATCTAACATATACTTTTTAATGTGTTTAATTTACTTGATTAGGATAATGATTCGATATTTATAATCTGGTGAGGTTTTTTTGTTTTTGTTTTTTTTAATAAATAAGAAAAAAAATTAAATAAAAAATAATTTATAAATTTTAATCGCTAAATTTCATATTTTTGTATAATGAAGAAAGGAGTTCAATACACATGTGGGTTAAGTTTGCTGCCAGAGATAATTATAAGGTGTTTATTAATTCATTATTCAAGAATCAAGATGTAATCTAATGATTAAATAACTGTGAATTTAAGGTGTTGATAAACACATATTTAATAAATTAGTTATTTGGTAATAAAATATTTTTTTCATTTTAAATGGCTAATGTTCCCCTTTAAAACCCCCTTTTTTATAAAAGGGAAAAATTTAAATTTTTTTTATTTTATTTATGTTTATTTTCATAAACCCGTTTTGCTTATTTATTTTTTTATAACTTACTTGTTGCCCCCCTTTTTCGCTATTTAAACAAATTTTAATTTAATATCAAAAGAATTCACTAATTTTCAATGAATGTAAAATTAATACTGTCCAAAAAATCTTTAAAATCTCACAGGTTTTAAAAAAATCTGAAAAAAAGGGGTTAAATTTTTCAAACAAATTTTTTGAAAACAAATAAACCCCTTTACTTAAAAATTTAAATAGCATTTTCTTTTAAATAATCTTTAAAAAAATTTTTAGATTTTAAATCCAAAACTAAAAATTTTATGGGTAACTAACAAAAAACAAATTAAAGGGGGGGAACTTTTCCTTTCATATTTCAAATTTGGGAGAGAACCGTCAGGGCAGGAAATGGTTTGGGAGAGAACCGTCAGGGAGTGGAACTGGTAAGGGAGAGAATAGTCTGTCATTCGTTAGGGACCATCAACTGGACACTTTTTAAACATTTTTCCAGACAGAATTCATAATTTTTAACCTAGAGACCAAAAAAATTGACATAGTTCAGCTAGGTTCTTCACCCAACTAACAAACTAGTTTGTTTATTTCTGATTGTATTGACACTTATATTTGAGGCTCGACAAAGAGGGTATCAAAATTACCAAAATTGTCTACACTACAGTACCATGTGTCCATCTGTCCGGACAGATATGTACATGACGTGATTTAATTCAGATAAAAGCTTGGATGTTCTGATTTTTGATTTTTAACATGATATACTAATATTTCAGCAACAAATGCTTTAGTTTTGGATATTTTATTGTTTACTCTGCAAATGATAATAGCTGGTATATGAGGTCAGTCATTGCTTTCTTGACCCCCAAATTTCAACGTCAACATTCTTGAAATAAACATTAAAATTATACCATTTACGGAGGTTGAAATAAATTTATTTACTTAATCTTAGAAGAAACATGATTTATTGTTGATAAAAAAGTGACTGACAACCACTGAACTATATTATGCATTTTCGGGGCCGTCAGAGTTTGATGGTTGTCCGGTTTGGTGGTACCCAACCAGTAGCCCATTTCATGGCTCTACAGTCTACGACTTGGCCATCTGGCCTCTTACACATTATCTCCCCTAATGAGTGATTAATTTTATACCATGACATACTCCCTGCTTTATTGAAATTCTTCCTCGATTTCCTTATTGGTACAGAGAACACTTAACAGTTTACAATGACTCCTGACTACCATGTTTTGAGCCAAATGTCAAACTTAAGTCTCGAAATACCATTCCATGGCTCTACATTCTACAACTTAGCTATCTGGCCTTTTACTCAGTATCTCTTCCCTTTTTAGTTTTCATTTCTACTAACCCTGGGATAGATGTTAATGGGTTTTTTTTAATTTTTCCCGCCCAGGGGAAAAAAGTGTTTTTTATCCTTGCAAAACCATTTTTTTAAAAAGCTCTTTCCAAAAGGAACTTCAACTGAATGGAGAAGGGTTTTTTTTGAAAATACCCTTTACTTTTTTGCCAAGCTCTTTTAAAAATTTAAAAATTTTTAAAAGTAACAATCTTTAAAGTTTTTAAAAATCCTTTCCTTAAAGAAATTATGGCTTTTCTTTATTGTAATTAAAAAATTTATAAAAGGAAAATTTTGGAATTTTTTTTATAAATTTTTTTTCATCAAGGGAAAATTTAAATTTTCTTCTATTTTAGATATTTTTTGTTTTAAAAACCTTTTTGCATAGATTTGGGTAATTAATCTTTTCATTTTTTGTATTAAATTTATAAAATTTAAATTTTTAAAAAAATTTTGACATATATATTTTTGTATAAATTTTATACTTATAAAACCTCAATGCCTTCAAATGTAGGTTAATAAATATACATTTGTATTCTGAGGGGTTTCTTTTAAAAAAAAGTGAATATAAGAATGTCTGAAATTAATGAAAAAATATACAAAATATTTTTTAATCAATACTTTTTTATGTAATGTTTTTTACCAATATAATTCAGGTCATATGGAAGACCAGCTCGTAATGTACAATTAGATGCAAGCTTTGTACCATATGATGATGATATATTACCTGATGATTCTGTGAAAACTTTAGTCAGCCGACTCTACTTCCATATATTTTGGACAGACTGTGTAAGATTAACTTTTTTTGACATAATACAATGTACATGTAGTTTATTCATAAATACTGTACATGTAAAAAATTTTTTACATTTCAATTTTTCAAGGGAGGGAACCCCCCGGATTTCAAAAGGGGTTTTTTTTATTTTAAACTGCTGGGTTTTTTTAAAAGGGCAAACGCTAAAAGGGCAACAAAAATTTTCAGCCAGGAAGAAGCATTTGGAAGTGCAGCTGGCCTTTGGTTTATTTGGTTTGGGAAAGGGAATCAAATTGCGGTTCAGGGAGGTTGTGGGTTTATTTTACCCCTGTTTTTAATATTAAAAGGTTTTATTAAAATTGAAATTGCTAAAAAAATAGTTTCTTTTTATGAAAATGCTTGTTTAAATTGGAAAAAAAAAATCAATCAACAGTGCTTCCATAACAATCCCTTTTCATGAATAAAAAAGACCCAAAATTTTGCTTTAAATTTAAATATGTCGGGTACAAAGTATTTTACTAAAAAATAAGAAAAAAGGGTTAAAAAAAACTTTCAAATCTTTACTTTAAAAATGGGATGTACAATTTTCCAAAATTTCATCCAATTTTTTTTTTATATATATTTATTTGTTTTAAGTTTTTAGGGGGAAAACATGTTAAGAATATTTTTCTTTTAAATTTTATTAAAATTTTTGTTTTTTAAGGGAAATTTGGCAAATTATACATTTGTTACAAGGGTTTAGAAAAAATAAAAACAAAAGGTTAAAGGGAGAAACAGTGATTGGGGTGCAGCATTTTAAGGCAAAAACTTCCGATTTGGGTGGTAGCCGTTTTCCAAAAAGCGATTAATAAAAAAGAAACAAAACTTTTTCCAAAATCTCTGTTTTTTTGATTAAAAAATTAAAAGAGTGATTTCCCCGGGAGTAAAAACTCCGATAGTCAGTTTTTTTTCTCTAAAAGGGATTTTATTTTAAAATATTTTAACTGGTGAAAAAAATAACATTTTAAAAAAGTTTTACAGGAAAAAAAATTTTTTAGTAATAAAGGGCCCAAAAAGATTGTCCCCACGGCAAAATTTCGGAAACACATCCCCAAAAACTTTGAGGGGTTTGATTTCAGGAGACTTTGCTTTTTAAACCCCGTTTTTTTTCAGTTTTTCTCAATTTTCCATAAAAATTTTAAACCAATCTAAAAAGGAAACCCCCAAAGGTAGCTGGCCCTTTTAACCAAAATTTCCTTTTTTTACCCTTTTGGGTTTTTCAATGCCCTTTGGGGGGGAGGGAAATTTTGGGGATACTTTATTGTGGGGGAAAACTATCCAGCTTGTTTCAAACCCGTCAAACAGTTTACTTCTAGGGGCTTGCCCTTTTGCCCAAAAAATAATAACAAAATAAAAGAAAATTGGGGAAAAGGAAAAAATTTTTAAAGTGTTTTTAAACTTTAAAATTTTTAAAACAGATATACATAAAAACCTTTCCAGTGAAAATTTTGTGTATTTGGGGGACATTTGGATATGAAATATTCACAAAAATTTGGGGTTAAATCTCAAAAGAAATTCCCTTTTATCCCGTTTAGAAATTTTATAAATCTGTCTAAAGGTCTTTAAAAAAAATAATTAAAGTTTATTTATTTATCAGGGAAAAAGTCAACTTTTAAAAAGGAAGTATTAGCTGTTTAAAAAAATTTAAAAAGTTTAAGTTTTTAGTAAGAATGAATTTTGGTTCCCAGAGTCTGGCCCGAGAAATTGTATTATATAATGTGATGAGAACTGTATTTAAACATTTTAGGGGAAATTGCTTTAAATGTTTAAACTTTTTTAATGGGCCCTAAAATGACTTTTTAAATTTTTAAAACTTTTTAAAAAAACCCTAAAAAGAATTTTTAGTTATTAAAAAACTAAAAACAAAATGATTTGGTTCTTGATCCGTCATCATAATAATAACGTCAAAATAGTAATATCAAATGGGTTAAATTTAAAAACGCTACAGATCTACTTTACTTATTTTTAACAGGTAGTGGTTCTTGATCCATTAAATGGAGATTCAAAAAGTATGTTACAGTGGAACCAGTTCTTGTCTCGCCTCCGTACATTACTTCTACAAGCTTTTACTAGACACTTACAGAAGTATGAAGATAACATGAGGGCACTGAGAGAGGAGAGAAATAAAGTTGGTTGGAATTTCCAGGAATATTTCATTGTTCAGGTAGATAAAAAAAACTTGTTTGAAGTCATTTGAAACAAGTAAACTTGAAGTAATAGACTCAATTTTTAATGGGCAAGATTGTTTTGGCAGTTGACCTGCAGGGTATATGGAATTGGTTTGTTCTCCGAAATCATGAAAATTAGCCCTACTCATATTGGTTTTCCTGGCGGTTAAAATTAGAAAAATGCATCGCTTTTCCCAAAAATTGTGAAAAGCTCACCGTTTTGATTGGCTGTTTGTTAAAAATTCAGCTAGGTGTTAACATAAACAAGTACTTTGTGTCGTTTCATTGATGCTAATGTGATAGCGTTATTTTAGGAGCTGATCTCTTTAATTCAGATTGGCAAAGCACCCAGACTTTCCAATAAGTTAATTGTTTATGTTACCTATAATGTACAAGTACAGACCAGGTGGCCTAGGTGTCTCATTGAGACTCACTCAGCCACTCTCATCTATTTGTTTAAAGTACCACCATGGATAATTTTGTATGAGGAAGTAATCAACATTTTTACAGGAAATTAGTGAATCTTCTTGGATGCCTGCTTGTTATGAAATGCAGAGACTGCTGCCAGGGATCTTATTCCAAGATTAAGTCCAGTTTTTGCACATAGCTAAAAAATGTATTAAAAAAAGGGAAGATAATCCAAGACCTTTTAGAATTAAGTTTTACTATTTCAGGAAGAGTTAGCATTCATGAAGTTTGGGATGATGTTAGGGAAACTGTAATGATGATGCGTTTGATACAGTTATTGAATGAACTAAGATGCCCTATTTCAACATACAGTTTTACTACGTCAACGCATGCTTCTGGACGTATGTTCTTTTTTAATGTTAATTTGTGGGGAATGGTTTGTCCTATTGGTGTTTTAAGGTTCTTCTGCCTCTCAAACCAGGGATCCATAAGTTTTCGAGCCCTAACTGCCGTGGTGCCTTGACCAATAGTTTTCCTTTAATATGACACCTGTACTGGTTTGGGGTTTCCAGGCAGGCGCACTCGGGAAAGTTGATTTAATTAAAGTTAAAAAGAACTTGTTTTGTAATCAAGCTTAAATAAATATTTTTAAACTAATTGTGGTGGTTCAGGTTTTTATACACAGTTTGTTATGTTTGCACTAATCTGTAAGCTTCATTAAGCCGTTGAATGTATTCAGTGAAAAATGACTTGCCTACATGACAAGTATAGAGCATGGCCAGCTTGCACATCCATACAATTTGGCCTGACACTTGGCTGTTAGCTGTTCATTTTAGAGTTTAGATATGAAATTCACTAATAATAACAATTCATTATGTACAGTTTCAAATTCAGATCAAAATATGTCTATTGTATAAAATGAGCAGTGTTAATATCTTGAACTGACAAGTTCTTATTTCTGATAATTATTAAAGCAACTATAGTTTATTGAAGTTTATATCACCTCCTTTTAAATATGATATCCTTATCTTATTCCACTCTTTTCACACAATCTTTTCATTTACATTTTATTTTAAATCTCATTAAAGCTAAAATACTGTTTCATATTTTGTTAAAAAGGGTTTCAATGATAAATGAATTGTCCAGAAAAGTTGCACTCTCAACTGATTGTAACTGAAATAACATCACTCTGTTTAATAACAATACTTTTATAGAATTAATTATTTAAAGTGTAACTAAATTCACACAAACTTTTCACCCATGCTTTACACTTACTCCATGCTTATATTAGAGTAATCTCCCTTTACTTGAATACTGTTACAGTGTTAGACTTAATTTATACTAACTACATGTACGCTTGCACTCCATTCACTACTATTATACATTTTTGTTTATGTGTTAACTCTTGTATTCTCTTCCTCAAGTGGTTGAAAATATATTTTGTCTAGTAAGATTGTTCTGTGTTTTGAGTTCTGTGTTTTAAATTCTTTGCTACATTTAATTTGGTCAGTCAGCAATAATTGTTTTTTTTTTGTTTTTTTTAATGCGTTTAATTAAGGTCGCCGCCGGAAAGCCCATATGGGCGACCGTACACTCAAGTCGGGCCATCCTAGAGCGTCCCGCCGAGATTTTTTCGTCGATTTTTTTTCCAGCTTTTATTGGTGGAGGAAGACCCCAGGTGCCCCTCCGGGCATTATTTCAGGCACGAGCGGGCACCCGGGTAGAACCACCGACCTTCCGTAAGCAATAATTGTCATTAAATACTACCCAGTTAAATCAGTGTATCATACTAGTACTGTGAAAAGATTTGATACATATTTATTTTAACCACTAAGTAGGTTAGTGCTTCTTAGGACTTAGTATTAATATCATTAAATCTGTTGAGCAACTATGCCGCTCCAAACATACTTAATTTCATTAATTAATGCTGAGTAACAAACACTAACCTTTTACCTATACTTATAAATTGTAAGCTATTAATACTTCCTTCTCAAATACTCTACTTACCGGTACTAAACAACTCTTGTATCGCAATCAAACATTCCCAATGTATGCCACACTTATCCAGAAGTTCACTCTCCCTTGTGTTGAAATAATTTGTCCCAAATAATGACCTACTAACTATAGAATATATTCTAACTATTCTAGGTTTACGAGATATAGAAGTTGATTATAGAACTAACAAGACTGTAACGTCAGACCTTCATCGGCTTGTCTTGCAGCAACTAACTACTAAGAAATCTATACAGCTTGGTAGAATCTATTCATCTCACCCCATTTATTCTCATTTCCATTTCTTCCATATTTCAATTACATTTTCATTAATTTTTTAAACTAATTTTTTTTCTATTTTAAACTTATTACCATTTCATTTTTATTTCCATTTTATTATCATTCCCCCACTTGTTTTATTCCCATTTTATTTTTATTTCCATTTTACTCTAATTTCCATTTAATTATCATTTCCCCACTCCTTGAATTTCTATTTTGCTCTTATTTCCATTTTACTCTCATTTTCATGTAATTATCATTTCTATTTTCCATTTAATCATCATTTCCCAACTTTATTTTTATGCCCCCATCATGTAATGGCCGGGGCATATAGTGTTACCCTGTTCCGTCATTCCGTCCTTCCGTCCTTCCATCCTTCCGTCCTTCCGTCATTCTGTCATTCCGTCATCATCAGTTTCCGTTCATTATCTTAAGAACAGTTGCACACATTCAACTCAAATTTGACATATGGATATGTCATGAGAAAATACAGGTCCAGTTCGAATTAGGTCATGGTTCGATGATTTTTGGCAGAGTTATGCCCCTTTTACTTTGAAAATAATATGAAATTTCAGTTTCCGTTCATTATCTCCCCAACGGTGTAACACATTCAACTCAAATTTGACATATGGATATGTCATGAGAAAATACAGGTCAAGTTTGAATTTGGTCATGGTTCGATGATTTTTGGCAGAGTTATGCCCCTTTTACTTTGAAAATAATATGAAATAATATGAAATTTTCAGTTTCTGTTCATTATCTCCCGAACGGTGTAACACATTCAACTCAAACTTGACATATGGATATGTCATGAGAAAATACAGGTCAAGTTCGAATTTGGTCATGGTTTGATTGATTTTTGGCAGAGTTATGCCCCTTTTACTTTGAAAATAATATGAAATTTTCAGTTTCCGTTCATTATCTCCCCAACGGTACAACACATTCAACTCAAACTTGACATATGGATATGTCAGGAGAAAAAATACAGGTCAAGTTTGAATTTGGTCATGGTTCGATGATTTTTGGCAGAGTTATGCCCTTTTTACTTTGAAAATAATATGAAATTTTCAGTTTCCGTTCATTATCTCCCCAAAGGTACAACACATTCAATTCAAACTTGACATATGGATGTGTCAAAGGAATGCACAGGTCAAGTTCAAATTTGGTCATGGTTCAATGATTTTTGGCAGAGTTATGCCCCTTTCACTTTGAAAGTAATATGAAATTTTCAGTTTCGGAATCCATTTATTATCTCCCCAATGGTACAACACATTCAACTCAAATTTGACATATGGATATGTTTTTGGAATGCCAAGGCCAAGTTCGAATTTGGTCATGGTTCAATGATTTTTGGCAGAGTAATGCCCCTTTCACTTTGAAAATAATATGAAATTTACAGTTTCTGTTCATTATCTACCCAACAGTGTTACATATTCAACTTAAATTTGACATATGGATATGTCAAAGGAAATGGGCAGGTCAAGTTGGAATTTGGTAATGGTTTGATGATTTTTTTGGCAGAGTTATGTCCCCTTTCACTTTGAAAATAATATAGATACATCTTAGGAATAAGCAGTTTAAGTTTTGAATTTGGTCGTGGTTCAATGATTTTAGACAAACTTATCTTTCCTGAATGTTGGAAAAATTTGAACTTTTTCAGTTTCAGCACTCATACTTTTAGCCATTATTTTGGCTACAAATATGCAATATGCTATTTTTAAAAGGTTAAGACTGAATAATTTCAGTGCCTTAAACATTGTATGAAAATGGTTTATGTTAACACTGAAAAGTTTTAAGGGCTTTGAACTTAAAATGAAAAAAATAATTAATGCACCATCTGAAATTTTGGCTGCATGCGGGGGCATCCGTGGCATGATGACACATTTCTAGTTTTCCATTTATCTCCTTTTTATTCTTATTTCCATTTTACTTTCATTCCCATTTAATTATCATTTGTCCACACCCCAGATTTCCATTTTATTCTTATTTTGATTGTAAATTTTTTATTTTATCCTCATTTCTATTTAATTTTTATTTCCATTTTATAATTCTCCTTTTCAGTTAATTCTCATTTTCTTTTTGTTTTGTTAATTGCAATTTTATTATCATTTCTATTTTATTCTCATTTCTAGGGTGTATTGTTTTTCTGATTCAATACCAAAGGCTGTACATTTGACTTAAAACTGATCAGGCCAATAACTAAAATAAAGAGCCTGAGAGTGCTTCAGTAAATTATTTAAACCTCTTTATTTTTGAGACTATAAAATATATTTATATTATAACTCTGTGAATAATCTTAGGCATTAAAAGCTGCGAAAGAAATAAGACTGTTCAGCAAAACTTTAACTCTGTTGAACAATTGGTGTTATGAAATGCATATCAAAGAGTTTCCACCAGAAGTATGGTATACATGTGAGATGTACTTCCCTAAAAAGAAGTTAGGCCTATTTCAGACAATTCAAGACTGATTAATCATAACTCATGAGATAAGATTTCTGAAATACTTAGTATGAAACAACACAGAATTGTTTTACCAAGAGAAAATAAAAGCAAGTTGAAGGCCACTTTAATGTAAGAAATAGGCTGTTCTTAGTCCTATTAGGGATCATTTAATTTTATTAGCCTTGATAATTAGATACTTCGGAAGCCCATGCTAATGAATGTATGAAATGCTTGACCTTTCAGTGTTTCTCATAACATTCCATGAAACCAAGTCTAAAATTCTCACATGATAATTATTTTATTTCTTTGCTAATTAATGATCTCCCCTTTTTAGAAGTTTTGTTTAACACACAAAGGGAGGTAATTTTATTAAATGGGAACTGTCAATCGAAACTTTTCGGCCCTTTCCGTCAATCTTTGGATAAGGACCTCAAACACAATAGTATGAATACACAGAAGGGATGCAGTATTTCAGTTTAACCTATGCTAAGAAACTAAACATGTAAACAAATAGTAATTTAATGCTGGGAGTTGTTGACAAGTTTATTTCTAATATATGTAGTAAAAGTCCACCTAAAATAAGTGAATTCATAGGTACAACAGCAAACAATACATAAATTATATATTTATTATTATGGTTGTAGAAACCGAAAGTACAAAAAACCAACCTGTTGACATTTAGTCTGATTTGTTTAAAACTGTAGATCAGTGGGCATATTTAAATAACAAATTGTCGTCAGACATATTTTCAAGCAAAAGAGTACCGGAACAGACATTACTTTTCTTTTGGATGTCAAAAATATACATTCCATTTACAATATGTCTGTTTCTGTTATAAAAAATACATCTGAAACCATGTGGTAGAACTACTTTCAATCCGTATTGTTTCCGGGGTTATTATAGATAATAGTCGAAAATGTTCCTATTGTGGGAACTGTTTTAAAAGTCAAATGTTGAATAATTGTGTTATTTATAAGACATCTTTGATTAATGTCATATTAATTAATTACTCATAAATATGTAGTAAAGATTTTCCTTCTTTTTTTTTTAACAGAGTCTGTACCCTGGTTGGCAAGCCTTACAGAGCCGTGTACAGTATGGGCGGGGCTTTCTCTGTATAAACCAATCACCTGGGACAAGCGTGACCTGATTAAGGATAATAAAGTGACGTTACTTGAATTCAGAAACTATCTTTTCTCGAGACAGTGTGCGATCCTCCTACTCCTTAATCGTCCAGGGGAGATAATTCAGCGGGGCATTGACTATCTACATGAAACTGTACAAGAAATGAAGACTTTAGATGTAAGTATTTTTGTTTCTTATGTGTTATTAGAAAAAGTAGAATGTGTATTGAGGAGATAATTATAAGACTGGAACAAAGTGTTCAGTATTTTCCACGAGTATAGAGCCAGGCCAGCTATATTTCTTTTTTTTAATTTTTGACTGCTTCAGTGTCAAAATAAGGCTGATCCATTACAACAGTTCAACAGGTCCATATGGCAACTTCCTTGCTTTAACTGGTGGTGCCCCCTTCAGGCAATAATATTACAGGCAAGAGCAATCACCTGACCTGAGTGCAACTACTGACCTACAGAAACTAGCTTGATATCTTCCTAGAATTCTAGAAGTCCCTAACAGGGTTTGAACCATCAGCAGTGAGTGGCAAGTGATTTGAATTGAGCAATCTTAAGAACAAGGCCTCAGAGCACTATTTAATTTGCTATGTCACTATCTTCCTGTATTGTCACATGTTTTGAGAGACACTAGAATGAAGCTCTCCTTTCTGTAAAGTGTAAATGAATTTTTATACAATGCATGAATTAATGAGCTTCGGTGATACAGAATTTTAGTTCCATTATTAGCAGCAATTAGACACTCTCTCTAATCTGTTACAAGTGTTTGAAATTATTTTTTGTCCAATAGAAATGCAATACATGTATTTCATATGAATCATAACACATTCACTTTTCACTAAATCAACTAAATTAAATCAGTCTAGTAAATCAACAGTTTTATAAAAGTAATCTCAGCTACTTGCTTCTGATTGGGTTTGAACCCATGTGGCTGGCGATCCTCAGGCCCCGTGTTCACAAAGATTTTGGGATCAGGATCAAGTTCAAATTTAAAAACTCTAATGTTCCCATACATATTAAACAAAAAGGAATACATAAAAAACAGACGCACCAAAAAGTTTTTTAGCCCCTGTAAAGGCCAAAAAACCCAGCATCCCCCCCCCAAAAAAAAGGCCCAAAAAAAAACAAACAAAAAAAAAACAATAAAAAAGGAAAGAAAAAAGCAAAAATAACTTTCCGGGAAAAAAGAAAACCAAAAAAGAGAACTTTATGAAAAAAAAAACAATGGTAAACTTTTCCCAAAAAAAACCTAAAAAAAAAAACCCACCAACCAAAAACCAACCCCCCAAACCCCCATATTAAACATTTATTAAACAGTAATTCATATTAAACAGACTTGACAAATGGACACAGGTTTCCACACGATGGTTTTTCCTGGGCGAGTCGGGTCGCACTGCGAGCCAATTTAATGTAGCATTATCCGATTTCGGGAAAGACGTATGTTGTAAGATAATGAAGGCATTTTTTAGGCAAATGTTGTCATTTTAAGTGTTTTTAATCGTTGTATAATGTACTAGAATAATTGCATTTTCTTTTAATATGAGTGAAACATTTTGCAATGACTACGATTTGTCATGTTTGTATGTGCAGATTTGTTAGGTTTATTATGCCCCCGCCATATAATGGCAGGGGCATATAGTGTTACCCTGTTCCGTCATTCCGTCATTCCGTCCTTCCGTCATCATCAGTTTCCGTTCATTATCTTAATAACCCTTGCACATATTGAACTCAAATTTGACATATGGATATGTCATGAGAAAATACAGGTCAAGTTCGAAATTGGTCATGGTTCGATGATTTTTGGCAGAGTTATGCCCCTTTTACATTGAAAATAATATGAAATTTTCAGTTTCCGTTCATTATCTCCCAAACGGTTTCAAAACATTCAATTCAAAATTGACATATGGATATGTCATGAGAAAAATACAGGTCAAGTTCGAAATTGGTCATTGGTTCGATGATTTTTGGCAGAGTTATGCCCCTTTTACTTTGAAAATAATATAAATTTTCAGTTTCCGTTCATTATCTCCCCCAACGGTACACACATTCAACTCAAACTTGACATATTGATATGTCATGAAGAAAATACAGGTCAAGTTCAAATTTGGTCATGGTTCGATGATTTTTGGCAGAGTTATGCCCCTTTTACTTTGAAAATAAATATGAAATTTTCAGTTTCCATTCATTAACTCCCCAATGGTACAACACATTCAACTCAAACTTGACATATGGATACGTCCAAAGGAATGCGCAGGTCAAGTTCAAATTTTTGGTCATGGTTCAATGATTTTTTGGCAGAGTTATGCCCCTTTCACTTTGAAAATAATATGAAATTTTCAGTTTCCGTTCATTATCTCCCCAATCGTACAACACATTTAGCTCAAACTTGACATATCATACGTCAAAGAAATGCGCAGGTCAAGTTCAAATTTGGTCATGGTTCGATGATTTTTGCAGAGTTATGCCCCCTTTACTTTGAAAAAAAAAATATGAAATTTTCAGTTTCTGTTTATTATCTCCCCAACAGTATTAAACATTCAACTCAAATTTGACATATTGATACGTCAAAGGAATGCGCAGGTCAATTTCAAATTTGGTCATGGTTCGATGATTTTTGGCAGAGTTATGCCCCTTTCACTTTAAAAATAATATGAAATTTTCAGTTTCCGTTTATTATCTCCCCAACAGTATTACACATTCAACTCAAATTTGACATATGGATATGTTTTTGGAATGCCCAGACCAAGTTCGAGTTTGGTCATGGTTCAATGATTTTTGGCAGAGTAATGCCCCTTTCACTTTGAAAATGATATGAAATTTACAGTTTCTGTTCATTATCAACCCAACAGTGTTACATATTCAACTCAAAATTGACATATGGATATGTCAAAGGAATGCGCAGGTCAAGTTGGAATTTGGTCATGGTTCGATGATTTTTTGGGCAGAGTTATGTCCCTTTCACTTTGAAAATAATATAGATACATCTTAGGAATAAGCAGTTTAAGTTTGAATTTGGTCGTGGTTCAATGATTTTAGACAAACTTATCTTTCCTGAATGTTGGAAAAATTTTGAACTTTCAGTTTCAGCACTCATACTTTTGTGGAAATGTATATAGCCATTATGTTGGCTACAAATATGCAATATGCTATTTTTAAAAGGTTAAGACTGAATAATTTCAGTGCCTTGAACTTTGTATAAAAATGGTTAAGACTGAATAATTTCAGTGCCTTGAACATTGTATAAAAATGGTTTGTGTTAACATTGAAAAGTTTTAAGGGCTTTGAACTTAGAATGAAAAAAAATAATTTGTGCAAACAAATTTGGAACTAAATATTATAACATTTGAAATTTTGGCTGCATGCGGGGGCATCCGTGGCATGATGACACATTTCTAGTTGGAAATATTTTTGCGTAAATCTGTGAATGAAATAAAATATAAGCATTAGTAATTCTGAAATGTTTTAAAGAATTTTTTAAAGCTTGAATGAAAATCCTTGCTACAAAACAATAATTCATGTTGTAACAAACTACTTTCGGCTGCCATCTCGTAATAAACGTTCGTCTGGCCTTGCATATGGTGTTGTGTTGTTATTTTAGTTTAGCAAAGACTGGTAAATATAAATGCTTTTATGAATGTGTTAAAACTTACATGGTTAAGAAGAATTATTTCAAGTGATGGATGTTGGATAAGTATTTTAACACAGGGTATTGATGTACATATATTAGTCATGTGTGGAAAGCATTATGTTGAGAAAATGTCAAAGTCTATGAAAAATAAATTCTGGAAACACACTTTACATTCATTTTCATTGTTTATTGAGTATCAGAAATTTGATAAAGAAGACATTAGTAACTAACCTTTATTTTACAATCACAACATTACTATTGGCAATAAAAGTATTTTTTGAAAATCTTGGTATGATAAGGAAATTCGCTGTATTTATGATATCTTACAAGACAATGGCCAGTTTAATACACCAGAAGAATTAGGCAAGATCTACAATATTAATATCAATCATCTTTTATACAAAAATTGTATTTAGGAATTAAAAAAGCAGTTACAAACTTTTTTCAAAATGTCTGCTTCAACCCTTTAACTTTTAAGAGAGAAAAATTCCCAACAATTCCAGTACACATTAACGGGATAATTAAAGACCAAAAAGGCTCAAAATATATGTATGATTCGCTTAATGTCAATTCCAGCAAGCCCATTTGTCAGGTCAAATGGTCACAAAAACTATGCCTTTCAAATGATGATGAATACTGGAAGAATATATATAATTTACCATTCAAATTGACAGAAGATACTTACATGAATATACAATGGTTCCAAGTAAGACTTATCCATAGGATTTTGGGTACAAATAATCTTTTGTTCAAAATGAAATATATTAACAGTCCCTTATGTAGCCTTTGTAATCTTCATGATGAAACTATAGAACATATCTTTTGGGAATGCGTTCACAGTAATAAACTAATACACGAAATTTGTATAGATAAACTTAACATGTCAAACTTGAATAAGGAAACTATGCTTTTTGGTTACACTAAAGGAAACAATACAGTAAATGTTGTAAACAATTTAGTTCTTTTATATGTCAAAATGTATATTTTTAAATGTAAAACTAATAAAACAATGCTATCTTTTGCTGGTGCTATAAAGTATATTTCATATGTTCTAAAGGTAAATGAAGAAAAAGCTATCCAATGTGGAAATCTTGACCAATTTAAAAAAGACTGGCATACTATTTTAAATATATGTCACTAATCATAATATAATAGAGTCCTATCCAAATTTTTTTGTACCAATCTGATATAATGATAAATGTGACTCATCAAAATACTTTTTCGTAAGATTGTCTTTTCAGTTTTCATTCCTAGCTTTGTTTGAGCATACATTGAGAATAAATTCATGTGTGTAGTATTTCTAAACATGCCCTGGCCGCAAAGTATCTGTCTTTGATGTTTTTGTTGTGTTATATTGTTGTTTTCTTTTGTAAATCATCACCCTTTTTTGGGTGTCTTTTTATTCTATCGTCAAGTCTCCTAGCTAACCCCATTAGTATCATTAGTTTGTGTATTACTCATAAATATTAGGGATGGCAACGAGTAACCGGTTAACCGAGTACTCGATCGAACGTCCGAATATCGGTTAACAAAATTGATAT